AAAATAATATTTAACGCGTTCTTATTTTATTTAAAAAATAAATATAAAGCTAAATTTAGGCCGCCTAGGTCCTTATTTTTTAATAGTATTAGCATATAAACGCTATTAGTAAATAAACCTAGTTTTAAATAAAATAAATAGGAATATTATTATAAAATTTAGTATATTTTTTAAGTAAAATCCTTACTAAACTCCCGGGAAATATTTATTTTTATAATTAATATATTATTTAAAGGAAACACTACCTTAAAGGGCATTAGTTCTAAAGTATTAAACTTAAAAAATAATAAAATCTTGCCTTTTTTAATATTTATAAAATAGACTAAAATACCCATGTCCTTAAAGTAATAGGGTGCTATTTTAATATAGCCTAGTAATTAGCCGTGGCGTACTATATATAATAAATTACTAAAGTTAAAAATAGGTAAATAGTGTAAAAATTATTAAATAATTACTTTAAAAGCTAATATAAAAAAGTTTATAGTTAAGTTAATATGCGGCTTTAAAAAGAAAATAAATTTTTTATTAAGATTAGGTAGTATTATGCCTTTTTGTTTAAGCTAAACAGGAATATTTAATAAATATATAAAAGGTATATTTATTAAAAAGGTTATATAAATAAATACTTTTTTATTTTTTTGTTTTGCTGCACATGTAGCCTTAATTTAGTAATTTTATATTTTAATATAGTTTTTTTTTAGGTTAATACGCGCCCTTAAAGGCTTAAAATTATTAATTTTTAGGAGTATTTTATATAGTAGTTTATTTAACACATGCGCTAATAATAATATATTTAGAATACCTTTTAATAATTAAAATTATAGTAAAAGCAAGGCTATTTTAGTAAATATAGTTAAACTATTAATTTTATTAATTAGAATATTATTTATTTTAGTTAATAATATGTTAGGCCAGTGTGTTTTTAGTATGTTTTTTAAAATTAAAAATATTAAAAAACTAATATTAAATATTATTTTTAAATTATAGCTAGTTAGTGTTATAGTAATTATTATAACCTAGGTGTATAACTAATAATTATATAATAAAAAATTATTTTATTATAAAAAACTTTACTTACTTGGTTTGTTAGTAGGCCTGTTTAATTTTTTAAAAAAAGTTTAATAAATTTAATAAATCCGCCATGTTTATTGCGCGTAAATTATATAAAAATTACTTATTTATTTTTAATAACTTTTTATTTTATAAGTTTAATTTTTATTATATAAAATATAATTATATTATTAGTTAGTGTGTGGGATAATTAAAATTAAAGTAAGGTTTTTTATAATATTTATAATCCTAAACTTATTAAAGCAGGTGTTAACTAAATTTACTTTATTTTAAAGCTATAGGTATTTCCTTTTATTTTTTGTACTTTTTAAAAAAAAAAATATTTAAAAAAAATAAAGTAAGTAAAGTAAATTTCTTGGAAATAAACTCCTATAATAAACCTAATTTATATAAAGTAAATAATTAAAAAAATTTTAAGTATAATAAAAAGCCTAACTAGTTTATTTAGGACTATTATAGGCAAGTAAGTATTTTTTTTTAGTATAAATACTTAATAAATTTTTTTAGTAAATAGTCTTTTAAATAAACGTTGTTTATTAAGGTAGTATTAAGGTTTTACTAAATATAATATATAATATTATTTTTATTTATTATATTAGCTTCACGCAGTAATATTATTTTTTATTTTATATATTTTTATAATAATAAGTTTTTTTTAGTGATAAAGTAAAACTTTAGCTTGTTTACTTTTTAACAAGCTTTAAATATATTTTTTTTAAAGTAATACTTAATTTAGTAAATACACTTTTTTATTAAATTTATTATTTTATTAATAATTTTATTAAATAAGTACATGTACTATTTACAGGCTTTACCCTTTAAGTAAAGTAGTATTATATTTAATATTATATATTTTTTATATTAACAGTGGAGTTATTGCAAACACTTAATAAATATTATTATTAAGTTTTTTTTTAGGTTAAAAAATAAAATATACTCTAGCTTTAGTTATAAGGGGGTGTGTTTTAAAAATAAGAAATAATAATATTATTAAGTATAATAATAATAATATTTATAGCGCCTAAAGCGCCCTATATATTTATTTTTAAAAAAAAAATAATAATAAATTAAATAATAAATCTTTTTTTACATAACAAGTTTTATGTTAAGGGGATTTACTAGTTTTATAATTAATATTTTTTTTATTAGCTTATATTAGCGTGGGGAAACATTTTTTTATTTTTAATATATATATATATAGTCCCTTGTACTAGCAGGGTTTTTTAAAAAATATTATAAAATTTTTTTTTTATATAATAAGCTTTTTATTTAGTATTAGGCTATTATAAAATCTAGCTATTATAATTAAAAATATAGTAGCTAATTTTTTAACATGCATGTTATTAATAATAACTTTATAAATATTTTTTACTTATTTAATATATTTTACTAAATTTAAATAGCTTATTACCGCGCGAGCGGTCCAGAAGTTAGATTTTTTAATTAAAAAGGCTAATTTAATAAATTTATTATTTTTTATAATAACCTTAATAATATAATAAATATATAGTAAATCCTTTTTATATATAGTTTTATTATAAATTAAAAGTGTTAAAAACACCTTAATATTTACTAAAGTGTTATATAAGTGCTTTTTATACTTAATAAATAAGTATTACTTTAGTAATAATTTTATAGTTAATTAATTTAAAAAAGTTAGTAGTTTAGCTTAATATTTTCCTTTTTATTAATTTTTTAGTTTAGTTAACTTTAAAAAAAAATACTAGTTAAATATTTAATTTAGTAAAGGCTGGAAATATAAATTAAGTAAATTAATAATTTTTTAATTTATTAACTACGGGAGGCATGGTTTTATTAGTTTATTAATTTTTTAGCGTGTTATACTTAGCGTTAAGAAATATTATATTAAGTATGTTATTTTTATACTAAAATAAGTTAATTAGCAAAGGTAAAGGCCCAAGTAAAGTAAAAAAAAATATAATAAAAAAAAAAGGTATTATTTTTATTAGTTATTTTAAGGCAGGTATGGCTAAAAATATAATAATAATAAAAGTTTTTAAAATTACCACTAAAATAATAAATATTTTTAGCTACTAAAAAGGCAGAGTATTAAAGCTATTAATTTATAAAAAAATATATTATAAAAATTTTTTTATTACTAGGTGGTCCATAACCTAATTTATAATTTTATAAAAACTAAAAAAGTTTAGAAAGAGGCCTTAATAAATTATGTTTATTATTTTTTTATTTTTTTAAAAAAAATAATAAAGTTATTTAACTTATAATTATTATTAGCTTTTATTAAAGGCCTTTGAAACTATAATTATAAAACTTTTAATTTAAATTATATTTATTAAAATATAGATTTTTAATAATTTATTAATTTAATCTCACGCTGCTATTAAAGGTAAAAAAAAAAAAAAATTAATAAAATAAAAGCAAGAATTTAAAGTGTAAGAAAGGCATAATTATAATTATATAATTAAAGATTAGGAGTTAGTAGCAAGTAAATTAAAAAAAAGGTAAATAGTAAATTAAAAAAAAATAAATAAAAGAGGGAGTAGAATGCCTTAAATTAAATTAGTATAATAACTTAATATTTTTTTAATAAAAAATATTAATTTTTTAATTTATATAATTATTAAATTAGGTATTTATAGCCTAAACAGCATGCTATTATATTATTATGGCTTTATTTATAAAAGGAGATAATGATTATATTCACGAAGGAAACCTCCGTGTGCTAACTAGGTAACGTAACTACGTCATGTGACTATGAGTCACATGACAGAAGATCCCAACCTATGCAAAGCACATTTCTGCAGCATCACATTAGCCCCTTCGTCTCGTTATCCATCACTTGATACGGAGTAGTAACAAGGTGTCCTTGTCATACAAAAGTACCTAGTTTTTGAGGGGCAATATCAGCCAGTCAATGTTCACGGAACATCCCCGGTCACAAATGGACTGATCAACACCGCTTGTTACTGCCTTTTTGTCTGAATCGAAATGGATGAATCAGATGGAAATATATCGAATACTCAACATCATGAAGCTGGGAGGCGGCTTGCGTCCTCGTCCCCAGGTACTTCGCAGCTGCTATATAAACCCCCGGATGTTTCGTGGGATTTGCTCGCTTTGAAGTGAACCAACTCCCGGTGTTCTTAAATCGATCGCGATTTCTTTCAAGGCTCTTATTCTCTTTCTATTTTCATATATTTCACCTATCCAACCATTGAAACCCCACCTGGGCATCAAAACGCGATTTCCTATTCTAGGGCTCCTCGGGAACCCGTCCACGGTCGCTCTTGCTCTGTTGGAAACGACTTTCGACGCAGTCACTGCTCTAAGGCAAGAGAAATAACCTGGTGCAGTAAGAATGTTTTATTTTACAACCGCCTGCTTGTTCTCCTCAACTTCATTGCTCTGGAGGCGCCGTTAGCTGATCGGTCAGTCATACCTACCTAGCTGGGGTAGTGAACCACGCGACCGGCCACTCGAACCTACGGTACATCAGTACTACGAACATTGTAACGCCAATCGCAAACTGCTTTTACCCATTTCCTTCTCTGCAATCCCACGGCGCTGCGATTCAAGTTCTTCGGAAGTCGAAATGGCTACAAACATGCCGCTGGCAAACCAATGGAGACTGCTGCCGCCAGAGATTCTGGGTATAATGGTTGAATGCTCCGCACCGAGGTATTTGCCAAATGATCATTTTCACAACATATCTCTACGAAGGGCTCTAGATGAGCACCTGCGCTGGTTTCTGAGCTTGCGGCTGGTTAACCGTGCGTATACATCCATATACACTGCAACATTCGCGGTATAGCTGACAGTCACGTAACGCGACAGGATCGTTTGACAAACAAGTCGTTAAGTGTTTTATTGATGACCGGCAAAAAGACGGGAGACGAATTCCCGTCGGTCAATTTGGTTGGGACCTACCCACAGTTTCGATGATAGCAATGGGAGCACGACTTCTCAACACGTACTTTCGGAACTTGACATACCTTAGTACGAGCCCCCCGTGCTGCAGACATTTACAACGGTGGCTAACACCCATGAAGAAGGGCGGGAGCCATGCTACCGACAAGCTATATTCACAGTCCTAGCGGCCATGTTGCCAGAGGCGGGCTTAGTACTGATGGATAAATATGGCAGATACCAGCAGAAATTGGTCGACGAACTCCCGGACCAGCAAACAGCGGACTTGATGGCGGCCGCCTATTTGGCTGACACTGCCAATTTCACACATCTTCTCCATGGTTGCAATGCTAGCCTTCAGATGAGCAAGGGCTATACAGCCTTACCAATTTTTGCTGCTGCCCTCGGTGGCAATCTGAATGAGGCCCGGACGCTTTTGCAGGCCTACGGACCAAACGCTCTTGATTGCATTCCCTACCGCTCACCATTGCATCTCGCTGCCATGGGGGGCAACGTCGAGGTGATACAGCTCCTGCTTGCACATGGTGCCAATGCTATCGAAAAGGACTACAAACAGTACACGCCGCTACATCTCGCTGCAATATGCGGACAGGCAGATGCAGCTGGAGCCTTGTTATCCACTACTGGTGTTGCTTTTGGCCCTCTGGATGAATCCAGGCATACACCTCTGGGCTTCGCTATTCGGCTCGGGCACGATGATGTTGTTGAAGAATTCGAAAACAGTAGAAACCCCGGCATCCTTTGGGATACATGCGCATTTCAGTCCACCTGTACACTCGAGGATAACTTCAACAACTGTGTGGTAGAGGAAATGACCGCTATAGACTACGCAGCCTTCCTAGGGCGAGAGCGGATTTTCAACAGGATCTTTGCCTACCAAGGTTATGACTGCTACATAGATGAAACTTTCATCGTAATGGCCATGAGAGGCGGGAACGTTGCCATTGTAGAGGCAATACTACAATCAATCCCCAACGCACTCGAAATCTGCACGTCAACCCTCGAGCACTACAGAAAAGGAACAGCACTGTCTGAGGCTGCAGGTTGGGGGAATGAAGAACTTGTGAGATTCTTGCTCTCCATTTCAAGTGAAAGCCCCAGAAACATTAGCGACAATGAGGGCAAAATGGCGCTGTTTCGCGCAATCAAGGGGTCCAGTCACCTTGGAACTGTAAAAGTCCTACTGAATTACCCTGGAATTGATCAAGGGTCAACTCCAGCTCTTCTTTGGGCCATCGAGAACACCCCTCCCAGCGTTGAAATCGTCGAAGAATTGCTCGACCATCCACATATTGACCCAAATACAAAGAATGAATTCGGTCGAACCGCTCTATTTGAGATCTTCGCCGAGCCCGAATACTCGAAAAAACACTTCGTCTTCGACGTCGCCAGGGTCCTTCTCGCCCGAGAATCGGTCAACAAACATGTCATTGATAGGGATGGAAATAGCGCTTTGCTTTACACGGCTAAGAACTCCCACATAGGCTTTGAGCTCCTACTCCCGTTCTTTAAAGACAATATCTGGCATTGCAACTTCAAAGGTCAGAATGCGCTTGATCTGGCAGTGGCCGGTGGGCAGTTACCAGTTGTGAAGAGACTACTCGAGCCGGTTCACCAAGTGACAAAGGAAGCTGTTGAGCAAGCTCTCAAAGCCGCACACTCGTTATATGATTTTTATTGTAATACTAAAACTTCTTATTTGCAAGCTGGAGGGAACTCGGCCGCTGCCGTATTTCAATTAATCATGGGGGTTTTTGCATTCCAGTGGATTATAGACTGGCTTAGAGAATGTCTTGAGATGATGCCTTGTTAGTATCACTCGTGGATTCAGGTCTCAAGCTCAGGTATTAGCCTACTCTCCGCTGCAAATTATGTTACTTCTCGGTTGTCTTTCGGGTTTATATCAAAAATGCTACTTGTTCTTCTTTATTGTTTCGGGTGTCATTTGTTGCTTATCTCAATTGCTATAGTTGTTTCAAGCTACTTCATTCTCCTGAGATACGCATATCTCCTTTGAATCTATTCCGCGATTGTAAGGTACCCTGTGCACGGGACTCCAGGCATAGAACCCTCTTCTCTGAGTGCCATCTCTTAGCACGCTGAACTTACGAGAGCGAGTAACAGGCCCAGAAGGTAACGAGGTCGCCGATTCTGCAGATGCCCGAGTGTCAGCCCCTTACTACTAGTAACCTATGGAATAATCGCCGCAAGGTTAGGGCGGGATGGGCCTCGCGGGATGGGCCGCAGGTGATTCAGTGGGGATATGATGAGGCTCAAGCTTGGAACGTCATACCTAGAGTATAAGAAAGCCAAGGAAATGGAACAAACCCCATCGTGCTCGACAAGCCAGTTCCTTGCCTACCTTATCCCTGCGAATCTGTGGATCTGTCTTGATCGGTAACTTACTTGAGCCTCCGACAGTACCGTAAGTACAACAAAGTGCCTCTTTATCATGAAATCATCAGCTAAGTGTGAGGTCATCTACACACTGGTATTAATCTACCCTAGTCAATGCCCCTTTTTGGGATCTGACAAGCTATCAAGGAGTTTACTTCCCAGCAACGCCCTCAACAATCTCCTTTAGTCCCTCCTTATCCAACACTTTGATCCCCAGGAGCTCATTATCGGTCTCTCCAAAAAGACCCCCTGCCCCCTCGCCCCAAATAGCGCGATGGATAAACGGGAAGATGTCGTCGTGCCCAAAAGTCCCAGCCTTAAGCTTTTCCCAGGCCTCGTTGACCTCCTCGTCAATACTTCGTTCAGAGATCTCCCACCCCTCAGCACCAACAACTCCCTGTGCAATACTCAGGAGCTCCTTCGCCGTCGTTTGAGCCTCGGAAATGCGGACGGACCGGTTCGCAGTCTCCTCGCTCCTGTCACTGAGGATAGAGACGACCCCCTTCCCAATAGCACCCAGCGTACTCGTCGAATAAACACGCTCGCCACCATCAAAAAGCGCCACTTTCTTCTCTGCAACCGAAACGGGGAATCCGCCCTGGAGCCCCCAGTCCAGGCATAGCCCGTTGTACACAAAAGTGTAGCTGATCTTGTTCTCGCCCGCAAGACCCTTCAGGAGCTCCTGGGCCTCAACCTTCGTCTTGAAGGTCGGCGCGGTACGGTTGATTTCGATGTCGAGGTCGGACCCGAACTCCGAGGGGAGGAAGCGCTTCACGCCGGCGGCGACGGCGGCGTGGATGAGGTTCTCTTGGGCTTTTGCTGCGGGTGGGGGGATGACGGACACGACTGCCTCGGCGGAGGCGTTGGTCAGGGCGGCGGTGAGGTTTTCGACGCTGGTGTAGTCGACTTCCACGGAGGCCACGCCGGATGGGAGGGAGAGAGGCTTGGAGTCAGACCGGGTTAGGACGGTGATGGTGAAGAGGTTGGATGTGGCGAGGGCGTTGAGGATGGCGGGGCCGAAGTTGCCGGTGGCCTGGTAGGTGTTAGAATCCTGTTTGAGAGGAGATATGGAAGGGGGAAGACGTACTCCGGCGAGGACGATGTTTTTGTAAGGCATGGTGAAGTCTTGTCGTGCTTCTTCCTGGCTAGACTGGGAATGGTGCTGAGTTGATGGTTGTATTTTCTTGGACAAAATGGCAGACCGTCCAGAGGATTAGGGTTCATTATATACCCAATTCAACCCTTTCTCTGCCGTGAACCAGACCTTTGATTCCGTCATCTGATGCAATTCGACTGGCGCATTGTCTGATGCGTAATGCGGACTGCTTCCGCTTTCATCTAAGCACCGTCCGTAAGCTGCCCATTCGTAAGCTGCTACATCCCACCGGCCCGCCCACCGGGACTACGCTGGGTCAAGCCGGGTCTTTGATGAAGGGTGCCAGTTAGCGGAGAGTGGCTATTGGTCCACCCAGGACAGATGTGAAAGCATTACGGAACAATAATCCTGCCAAGTGGATTGGACACCGCATTCGGCGATTACGATAGGTATAGAGACAGGGGACCGCATCCTGCAGACAATGAGAGCTCCTCATAGGCAGAGAACTTACTACCCAGCCCAAGCTCAACACTCTTAGTTATTTGTGTGTAGGGACAACCCTACTTCTTAGATATCATCTGGAGATCTTTTTAGGATAAAGAGTTGTAGATCTAGCAGGGACGGCTGTCTGACATCCAATTCGCACCTTTAGCCCGCGGCCATCGTAATCACCCACCGTTAGGTATCAAAGTAATGTACCATTGCGAGTCATCCCTCCCAACATCTAGTCACAAGCTGACAGATCTACATACGTATGCTACTTTCATACTGGTACTGCGAACGGTGACGAATGTTCGAGTACACGAAGACATGTTGCACCTGGGGCCCTACTCCTGACGGACGGGAGTAATGGGCATGGAGCTGCATCCTGGTCGACGGGTGTTGATGTAGTGGACTATGATAACGTACGGCTATGGGGAAGGTGGGTATAAAGCTTCGCTTTGATTCTCTAGGCATCGACGTGGACGCCCGTTATCTTTGAAATACCCAGGAAGTCCTCGGAAGGGCACGTTGAATAAGCTCGAGATATATAGTTGGCTTCCACCGATACAATGCTCTTATTGGTTGGCATCCATTGACGGTGGGGTTATGCAACTTAATGTCCTAATAAACTGATATCCACCGATCTTGCATCAATATAGATTACATATCTTATACCCATCCACCACAACATGATTTCTATCCGAATCCGATGAGGTCCGAAGCCCTAATTGGAGACATCGGCCGCAACTGTGGAAAACTTGGAGAACAGACCCACTCGGCAAATTCTTATCAGAACCCCAATTCTCCTGAACCATTCTTCCAACCTAACTCACAATACAGCAATCCTGCCGCGATGCCAGAGGTACACCAAACCCCCTTTCCAGTGGAGAGTGATCCATACGACGAAGATGCACAAAGAGAGCAGCATACTCAACCTGGACTCCAAACAATGGAGAAAACTCCATCGCATATCGTCGCCACCGAACTCAACCCCGAAAAATACCCCGACGGCGGCCTCCAAGCCTGGCTCGTCGTCCTAGGCTCCTGGTGCGCAATGGTCCCCTCCATGGGGTTACTAAATACATTCGGCGTCCTGCACGCCTGGACCTCAAAACACCAGCTCTCCACCTATTCCGAGAGCAAAATCGGCTGGATCTTCGGAACATATGCATTCTTCCTGTATTTTGGCGCGGCGCAGATCGGTTCGTCCACTTTCCCTCCTCCCTCCTCCTTCCCCCCCACGTAGTCTCCTACTAAAACACACCAGGCCCCATCTTCGACGCCCGCGGCGTCCTCCCCGTCGTCCTACCGGGCTCAATCGGCCTCATCATCTCAATCTTCACATTCGCGCAGAGCACAGCATACTACCAGATCCTGCTCTCGTTCAGCGTCCTCGGCGGCCTGAGCTCATGCTGCCTCTTCACGCCCGCGATCTCCGCAATCGGGCACTGGTTCGACGTCAACCGCGGCCTTGCAACCGGTATCGCATGCACAGCCGGCGGACTGGGCGGCGTGTTCTTCTCCCTGATTATCCTGTACGTTGGGCCCGCGCTGGGCTTTGCGTGGGCGATGCGGGTTATCGGTATTATATCCGCTGTGCTGTGTGCTCTTGCCTGTTTGCTTTTGAAGACGAGATTGCCGCGGAATACGAAGGCCGGGATGGCGGTTGATTTTGGGGCCCTCCGTGAGAAGGGGTATGGGCTTACGACGGCGGCGATCTGGCTCGTGGAGTTTGCGGCGTTCGTGCCGTATGCTTATATTGTTTCTTATGGGCTGTACGCGGATATGCCACAGGACCTGGGGTATCTGCTCTGCGTCTTCCTGAATGTCGGTGCTATTCCTGGCCGCGCTTTACCCGGGATTCTTGCGGATAAGCTTGGCCGGTTTAATGTTATGGCGTGTACGGCCATCGCGTGCGGGATCTGTACATTGGCGCTATGGTACTGCGCTGGTACGAACCAGGGCGCTATTATCGCGTACGCCGTGCTATATGGGTTCTGGAGCGGCGCGGCGATTAGTCTCACGCCTGTGTGTATCTCGCAGGTTTGTAAGATGGAGGATTATGGGAAGAGGAACGGGACGACGTTTACGCTTGTCTCTGTTGGGACCCTCACTGGGATTCCGATGGCGGGTGCGATTCAGGAGAGTCAGGATGGGGGCTTCAAGGGGCTGATTATCTTTGGCGGCGTGCTGTATCTTGCTGCGGCGGCGGTGTTTGCACTTGCGAGGGGGGTTGTTGGGGGGTGGGGGGTTAGAGTGAGGTTTTGAAGCAGCATGCGTAGAGCTACCTTGTTGGTATAAACCCTAGCTAACGCCTAACAATGGAAATCAGATGGGATATGGACAGAACGCAGTTTGGCTCACCTCGCCCCAATTGCCAAGATTTACCTCGCTCCGCACATTGCTTATTAAATTACTTAGTAAACCAAGGTAAATTTTACTTTGTTACCTAAGTAAGCCCTTTAACCTAAGTAAGCCCCTATACCCAAGCTGAGAATAAAAAAAGGCACCCTTAAGTAAAAAAGGAGGGGGGGGGGGGGCCCCCCCAATATCCCCAAAGGGGATTAAAAAGCAAGGGGGCAAGCTAGGGGTCCCCCCGCATCAATATTTGCCTCTTCCATCAGGAACTTGACAACCTCCAGCTGCCCGCCTAGAGCAGCAGCCTGAAGCTCCGGCAACCTGACGCGGAAATCGCCAAGGTCGCTCTGCCGGTCTTGCAACTTCCGCAGATCATCTATCCGCCCCAGGTATGCCGCCGTCATCGCCGTTGCCAGGTGCGGCGACTCCGGCAACAAAGTCGCCAGGAATGCTAAATCGGCCTATTCTCCAACAGCTTCAATAACCCACGACTCGCCGATGATTCTTGCGAGCAGTGCATGTATTCCAACGCGGTAGGCGGATTCAAGCTCCTCGCGCGTAGCATGAATTCCGTTTTCAGACTCTGCAAACAACACGGCAGCCGTCTCGACCACTTAGACGACTACCCTTTTGAGACAATGGTCCGTATTCGCGGGGATTCTGTGACAGCGGTCGACAAAGGCACCAAGAAACTTCGCACTTACCGCCATCATCGAAGGTGTAGGCGGAGACCACTCGACGTCGAACGGAGGTAGATGCAAGACACCACTGTCTTCACGAGAACGCCGCCGCAAGGCCTCCATCAGGAGTTCCAGAACAATAGCATCAAAGGTTCCTGTCACGCGGGGTCAGTGAATTATAGCTTCAAGAATATAATAGCGGTATGGTAAGCATGAACCCACTGCTAATGAGGCGTAGACTCATAAATCACCGTAGATTGGCCCGCTTTGTTTTTCCCGACTGGAAGGTGGGATGTCTATAGTACTTCGGTGGAAGGTTGAGGTTCGGCTCTGTGCGCGGCGCACAGAGCGATAGGATGCTGTGGACAATTTCCGTTGGCAGCGGCCGTCCCAGCTTGCAAGCTTGGCCTCAGCACTTAATGTTGTGACCAGGGGATTTTCTCGGCGATCTGGTATCAAAGACAGCGCTTCTTGGATCAATTGCCAGGAGCTTGAAGATGAGATGGATACTGTGGCGGTGAATAGACGATGGAAAGCGTTGTTGATGAGGGGAAGAGTTGTCTCCAAGCTCGGCAAGCAACGTGGTGCACGAGGCCATGTGTCACTCCTCCCCCATACCCTCTGCATTGACCCTTGCTGCTTGAGGTTCGCATTGAGCTTTCTTGAGTGTGGAATGTGCATCATATGACGTTGCTGATGTTTTCCAAGGATTGTGGTGCTGACTCTTGAATGCTGCAGGTGTCCTTTGTAATCTAAGCGTTGTCTATCTACATTTTAAGCAATCTTGGAACTTCCTGTTCTGAAGCGCAGGGAGTCATTAGGGGTAATTTCCCTATAAAGAACAACATATTGAGCCTTTGTTAATGAAGTATTGATCCTGCTGCGCAGATCCATCATTGCTCGAAAATAGAGATCTTTCAACGATTCATAAGAATAGAGGTCCGCCCTACGTTAAGCTCCCAGTGCTTGTGGTCGCATGATCCAATATTCAAAGCACAAGACAGGCAATGGGTAGACAGAACGGCGCCATGGGCCTAGCTCGAGCTTATTAGATGCAATGAGTCTCGATACGTCAAATTTCAAGCACCCATTTCCTCCAGTCTCACCGTTAGCAATCCGAGTGCCTCTCGCACGCCCTCACCCATCCTCACCATAACAGCCGAAGCATTCTGTCTATTCCGCTCCATCACATCCAACCCCTCAGGAATCATAGACGCCATATCAACCTGGAATTCGCTGAGCATGGCGTGGAACCGCGAGGCCTGAAACAGCAGCAGCAAATCCTGCAGTACAGCCTTCGGTTTCACCATGGCCTGCTCAACAATGCCTCTCGTTGCACCTAGGTCTGGGTCGAGGAGTCTGTCTACGACCTCTTTTTGGCCTGTTGATGCGGCGAGGCCTAGGGCGGTCTCGCCTTGATTGTTTGCGTCCCAGATCGTGTGCGTTTCTTGGACGAGCGGAAGGAGTAAGTTGAAGGCCTGCAGTGAGCTCGCTGCAGCGAGGTGGAATGGTGTGTTCCCGTGGGCGTCAGGGGCGGATATGTCGACGGAGTCATGGGCAATGAATACACGGACGAGATCAGGGCGGCCATTATGAGCGGTTATAGTCTGTGTAAGGGCCGTACTCCCCTCGGCAATTCGTGTATTAGGGTTAATTCTCGGATGGTCGAGTAGCGCGTTGACAATCTCCGGGGTTGGGCAAGGCACGGTAGTAGCCAACTCCAGTGGAGACAGGGGCAGAGCACTGCAATTCACATCGACATCATCATATTCCCAGAACGCTCCGACTGTATTGATATCACCGCTCTCAATCGCATTATGGAGCGGCGTGCTGCCACCAAAGGCCTCGGACGCTGAACCATCCCGCTCCAGGGCGACGACACTGCCGCGTCCGGCAGCCATATCAAGTACAGTCTGCCGATGACGATTGCGATGCCAGATGTTTCCTTTGAGAAATGGAAGCAACATGTTAAGGATAGCAACTTGCTCTCGGGTATCTTGGCCCGTTCCAGAGGCGGCATGAAGGAGGGTTCCATCCTTATCCGTTACATTTTTGTCAACTTTGGGGCTGGAAATGAGGACTTGCGCGACACCCACCCTAGCCTCCCGGAGGAGCTGAGGTCGACGGCTTCCGCAAGCGGTGTTTTGCCCTCCAGGGTGCGAAGATTGGGGTCTATCTTGGGGTGATCCAGTAACAATCGTACTATTTGGGGGTTCGGGTATTGACGCCCTCTGACGGCTATATCGATTGGGAGGATGCGGTGCCAAGTTGATATCAACATCCGGGCGCTCCAAAAGAGCTTTGACGGTGCCAATGTCATTACTCTGGACGGCGCAATGCAGCGGTGCGTAGCCTTCCTCGTCCTGGTAATTTAACGGACCATCCCCAATATCAAGGAGGTATCTGACCACATCCTCATGGTCATTTTCTGCAGCAACTCCCAACGCAGTCATTTCGCATTGTTCTTTGAAAGCTCCTAGGATGTCAGGATTAGCGGCGAGGATAGTCCGAACAATCGCCACGTTCCCGCCTTTCTGCGCCTCGTCGAGAACCGTGGTAGGTACTGACGCGGCAAGACGGGGATGGATAGTGAGCATGTTGAATATCCTCTCGCGGCGGCAAGAACGGCGTTCTCTTCAAACGGGCGGTTGGACGCGGTCCAATTGTCGATCGCTCTACCCTCTTTGAAATCAGTGTCCCAGATCATGTTCACGCCCACGGCTTTGTATGCCAAAAGGACTGCAACAACCTCTTCATGCCCCCTGATAACAGCCCAAGCATGTGATGGGCGGCGCTTAACGCCATCAACATTTGGATCTGCGTGTATGCCTTCTATCTTAGATATCAGAGTGCTCACGACCTCCGCATGGCCGGTAATTTATGGATAGCAGAAGGCGAACAATTTGGTCGTTGCCTCCTATTGCTGCTAAATGCATGACAGTGGTCCCGGTCCGTTCCAAAGTATGGGATTTATTTCTGCTAAGCCATCCAATTGACCCACCAGGTAGACCACTGTGTCTGATTGCCCGCCCAGAGCTGCCGCGAGAAGCGCTCGCTCCAAAGAGACCACCCGACTATCTTCCCAAGGTTCCTGCCGCGGGAAATAATGGTAGTCGCTCTCCACGCGCAACAACAATCTCATGTGGTCGATCCTGCCTAGGTATGCCGCTGTCATGAGAGTGGCAGTCTCGGTGTCCCGTACAATGGCACTCAGCTCCCGCAGATACCCCTCATCACCGTCTATGATCTTGAATATCCAGGATCCGGGGATGATTCCCACGAGGACTGAAAGAACCCCGATGCGGTAGGATCCCCTCACTCGTTCTATTTCCTTCGCAAGATGCTTGTCATACCAACCGATTCTCTCCGGTAGTGCAACGGCAGCTTCAACGACCGCGGTGACGACTCTGACTACAGGATGCGAGTGACCTTGACGCTTGGAGGACAAACGATCCAAGAGCCTCACGCTCATGGCCATAGTGGAAGGGGCTGGTGGGTCCCATTGAAAGGGTAGAGTATTGATGACCCTCGGATCTCTCGGGTCGAACGACTTTGTTTTACGAATGGCAGTTTCGAGTAATCGGATTACCAGTTCATCGAAGATGTCTGTAGTGTTAGGGTAGCATTAGCATAATCAATGCAAAATGTGAGAAGGTCACGCACGCCCAACAAGGCGCAGCCACAGAAACTGGCGCAGATCCGCGCGGGCCTCCCTCCGCGTCTCAACCCGTACGAAGCAATCCATCTCCATCGTGGGCGTCAAGTGCGATAAAATCATTTCTTTCAGCTCAACCGGCAGAGATGAGAGAGAAGGCATATTGCAAGGAGATTGCTTTTGTCCAAAGCAATTGCGATGGTAAGTGATGGTAGCAAGATTGTGATTTCGAGAACAATGTTAATTTCGCTTCCAGAGACGCGAAACGCAGACGCGAAACGAGTCTGCCCAGAAAGAGGGGCAAGATCAGCTGAGGGACTGGTGAATCTGAGAGCGTAATACCCTGAATCTGATAGATCAGATCAGAGCAGGTACCCGTTATGTGATTCATGCAGGCTGCTGTCAGACTGAGGTCGTAAACCCCCGCCATCTGGCAAATGCAACAAATACTTGATGTTCTACCTACAGATCTACGAGAATGGGCACCAGCGACTTCAAACAAGGCCACCCGCTCACAAGGCTGGGATTTCTGCTCGGGAAGACAACACCCAATCATTCTTTATCTATAGGAAACGAGCCAAGCGGTGTTACATACCACAGGCGCCTCTCCACCTCAAGCTCACTCTCATACTGAGTATCAAAAACCCGGCGGAAAATATCAGCCAGCACAGGATGGTGAAGGTGGCTATACATCGCCTTCGTGAACTCCCAATACTCGGGTTTAAAGCCCGCGGACTCCCAATCCACAATACCGCACAGACGACCGCGCTCGATCAGCAAATTAGACTGGTGGAAGTCCGAGTGGGCGAAGTAGAAATGGGCGTGCTCGCGAGCGGGGAGATTTTCAATTCGAACGACATCGGTGAATGAGGCGGTCAGGTGGCTGACGAGGTGTTCGTTGAAGTCTGCCTCGGTGTTGAACGGGCCGCCCGTGTCGCCGGGGATACGGTGGTCCGTTATCGGGCCGCCGAGGGAGTCGCAGATCAGGTATGGTGTCGTATTTGGGATCCTGCGCAGCTGCTCGACGCAGGCTTTCAGGTCGGCGACGAGCTGGGTGCGCTCTGCGTAGGACATCAAGTGGCAGACTTGCCCGAGTTGTACACCTGGTACACGCGTCATGAGGATGTTTGTTACGCCGTTTGTCTCCCAGGTATCGAGGAGGCGGGGCGCGGGGATGGAGGTATGTCTTTCGATAAGCTTTAGGACGTTAGGCTCGTTTTTGGGCGCTCTGGTGCACTGTTTTATGTACAGCCCGAACGGCAAACGCTGGGCCCAGACGTCCGCTTCCAGGGGATACATTTTCCGCCCGGCTTTTTGGAGGAGGGTGTAGCAGAAGGCTCTGAAACTCTGTGGTAGGAGACGCCAGATTCGGAAGAAGCCGGACACGACGCTCGCTGGTATTGAGAACCCTTGAGCATGTTAGCGATCGTGGCATGCTCATTTGGCTGTGCTCACCTAGTGGTTTTGGGGGCCAGCCCCGACCTATTTTGTCCTCTATGTAAAACATGTGCAGTGCATTGGCGAACCTGGAATGAAGATTGATCAGGGAACTGCTGGGAAGGGGAAGCCTTTCGGTATCCGAGGTGGAGAGCTCGAAGAATTCAAGGCCGCGATCGTAGGGGGTGCCATCTCCCAGATAGAGGCCGGAAGCCTCTTCAGGATATAGTTTGCGCATTGCGTACTATGCAACCGGATCAGGAACCAGTGCGAATGGCTGAATGTGGGGGTCAGAAGTTGTGGCATACCAAGCAAGTCTGGAGGGGTTCATCGACAGAGTCAATGGAAGGCGGCGGCCCTCCCCTCATCTCCGATCGTGTCCTTATGTCTACGTGCCCAGCTCGAAAGGCTGCATGTATACTGGGTGGGAGCAGCAGAAGATTTCTAAGTTGGATCGAAGTATTTTCTGGGTCGCACTCGAGAAAGTCTCTGAGCCTGGAAACACCGCCACTGGTTAGGAACGCCTCGAGCATCGACAATAGAGCGCCCTGCAAGGTTAGCAGATATGCCAGACAAGGTTAAGAGAGGGCTTCTCACCCCATCAATTGACTCAAGATTCCGGAACAGAGACGGTGGAATCACATAAGCCGGCTCGACGTTCGACCCGGGGACATGGCTAGGGTATCGTCGCATAGCAAAGTCACGGCCGTCCCTTAGGAAGAGTAAGTCTCTGACAGTGTCGGGAACAGTATCAGCGACCGTCACTAGACAGAGTGTTAGCGAAGAGCCGTACAGGAAGGGCGGATTCTTTACGTCGGGTTGCCAGACGTCTCCATTGCCCCTTGAGGACACGAAGCGTATCTTCGACATTGCTCGCCGATGTTTTGACCCTATAAATCACATATTCTCCCGCCTTTTGCGGATCAACAGCAGATTCAACGAAATGCTTGAGCAGGAGGTGTTCTGTCGGGGAGAGGTCAGCCGCTGTGACTATCTCCAAAGCTCGCTCAACACTCGTCATCTGAATGATTCACGCCAGAGCGATGAACACTTTCGTTTTAGGTACCGAGCAAAGTAGCCCAAGCACTTAAACATGTAAGGCCAGGAGGCGGAGATAAAAGAAGCTAAGATTGGAATTCCGCTGTGAGTGTTGGAAGGTTGCTTTGATTGCTCTCGACACCTTGAAATGACCCCGGAGTCACATGATTCGATTGGGCCGGCGCGGAGCGATAATCTGCCGACCGCACGGACCACACTCGTTGCCCAGCGCCCCACAGTGAGCCCGCGTTGGGCTTACCATGATTGGTTGGGCCAAGTTACCCACTGAGCTATAAAAAGCACCCAAAGCCCAACGCTACTAGGCATAGCACGCCATGGTTATCATTAATTCGCTGTGGTGCAGCCGCCATTAAGTCCAGATCTTCGGGGCGCAGGACATCATAGGTGCTTGTTGCTCGTTCGAAGACCTACGGCGGCTATCGGGAATCCTGCGAACGAACTGTTGGGCTTTAGGATGGATCTTAATAGACAAATCAAACGGGTTCTAGTACCGCCGAACAGCCATACGAGGTCTATATATTCGCTCAGTCCCTCGCAATATCCATAAATCTAGTTTAGATCATAGACAGCAAGGCTCCCATCTTGTTACTTATCTACATACCACCCTACCTACCGTGCAACTATTTCAAATGTCCAACCCCACCAGGCCGACCGGCGAAATCGACTTCGACATCAACGGCCTCTACATCCTCCTCTCAGATATAGGAGCAGAGTGGCAGTTCCATTGGGGCTTCTACCTCGCAACCAAGCCAGGAGAAGGACGCGTCTACCACCTCGTCAACAACATCGAGACGAACCACAAGTGGGAATACAGGACCAGGCTATCCCGCGGCGTTCCCCACTCCATATCCCTCCTCGTCGCGCTCAAGATAGCGGTCATGGACCCCGCTCTTCACGGGGCACTCGGCGACAGACTCAAAGCTGTCTCGCAGACCCCGCCTGTTACCTGTCGGATTTGGCTGAAGAGGGCGCTGCAGGACCTTGACGATGAGGGGTACATTAAACTGAAGGGGGGTGTGGATGATATCGAGCTGGAGGGAGAATCGGCAGCTGTGGAGAATAAGCACGCGAAAATTAGGCAGGTCATTGCTAGCAGGCTTAGTGCGGCTTAAAGGGGACGGCTTGGTGGTGTTAAATGGGAGTATATATAAGAAGGGTGGTGTGGAGAAGCTGCACGGTTTTTGTGTGGTGGTGATGTCGGGCTAGATCCGTTCGAATGCTATATATATCGATGAAATAGATCGAGTTTGTACCGTGATCGACTTACAGATGATCGTACTGCTGCGCTAGTCCGTCGATAAACAGCACATCTGGTCAAAGAGTCAAGATCTACGGCAAGCTGTGGTAGAAACAAAACAGTTGAAGTCTCAAAAGGGCGAGATTGAGCTCTCCGACAAGTGAGGCTAAAGAGAACTTCTCAGTGACTAGATCTGAATTGAGAGCGTTGGCAATGAGGCGGAAAATCAGAGCGGAGTGGGTATCGAGATACTATACAAACAATGAACAAGCCGGACGGCAGACCAACAGCTCCGACTAGCCGAGATGTCGGAACAAGGCGAAAAAGACATGAACTACCACCGCTCATCAACCGGCCTCGCTGTATTCCCGCCCGCCCGGGTAGTGAGGAAAGGCTCAATAGTAACCCCCCGGCTTCGAGCGCCTGCATACAACCGCTCACAAGCAGCGCGGGCCTCGCGCAGATCCTCATCGGGCGGAGTCTCCGGTCTTGGACACTGATACTTGTCCGGCACATAATGCAGATCCAGCACAAAGGCAAGGCGTTCAAGACTAGGTAAGAACGCACTGGTGCTGAACGCAGAAACCCACTCTTCCCATCGCTCCGAGTGACAAAGTGACATCGGGCCGCGGAAATGGAGGGATTGAAGATTGGGCGGGAGGCCGGCGTACAGGCCCGACAGAGTGGAGGGATCAGAGAATACATTGCCAACTGCCAGGTTCAGGGACTCAAGTTTTGTGTGCTCCGCTAGGGCTTCGGGGAAGAGTCTCTCTGACAACCAGCCGAAGTCCCATGGGAGCTCGGTTGAGTGCAGGGTGAGCGATAGAACAGGCTCCACCACATGCGGCAGGGCAGCGGACATGCGGAGGTACGTATCGAGGGCGTCGTTTTCGATAATTTCAAGGGTGCGGAGACGGCTCTCATGGCCCTCGACAGGTTGGTTCTCTGGCTCGAGCGGCGGATTCTCGGTTAAACCCGGCGCGTTGTATTTCTTCGCCATCCACGCCTTGCCGAGTTCGGTGATGTTGACGATCTGAATCTTTGACGTTTTACCAAGGTACTTGGGTTCAGCTTCACCGCGCTTGATGGCGTCGTAATGCGCAGCGCTCAGCTCGTCGGACGTTGGCCCTTCGAATCGCATTTCCGACGTATAGTAAAGAATGAGGTGTTTGATGCGGCCTTGCAGGATATGAGGCGACTTGGTGACTTGTCCGCAAACGCTCGATATTAATAGCCGGTCAATTGGCCAGTGCAAGGGCAGTTTTCTGTCGTTGAGATCTTCCTCGAATCCGCTGTCTACCTCCAGATCCCGGACACTGGTAAAGTGGTCGCCGAGGATGTCCCATTCTGCGTCGGAGGGGTGAGCTTCTTCGATCGTCAGCTTGGCCATGTCCCTCGGGATGTTTTTGAGTTGCGCAAGGAGGGGATCGCGGTGTTCCTCTGACAAGGTGTCGCTGAAGCGTCCCTGGACGGTGACTTTCGGTGGAGACGCGGTATAGCGGCGGATCTGGAGGGTGGAGATCCTGGAGAGGAGAGTGGGGATGAGAGGGCGGAGGCGGTTCTATTGGGTCATAGTTAGAGAAACCTGAAGAGCGGAGTGTGAGGTGACATGCCATCATGTCAAAGAATGCCAACCGTGGACGTTTTGCCCAGTCCTCTCAATTGACGACTGTCATTGTGTTTTGTTTTCCCATGACAATGACCCAGATTCCCCGCGATCACATGACAGTGCGCCAAGCCTTCGGGTCCAGGCTCCGAGTCGATCCGATCCGATCCGATCCGGCCCCGGTTTGACCCACTCCGGACCATGTCCCTCCTGAGTCTTCACCCCCGGGATCTGCCACTATAGGTACCTGCTAGGAAGATTCATGAGACACGAATCCAGGGCTTTGAAGGGTCATAGCTGAGTCCTGCTTATCTCACCGAGCAAACTATAGGTCAAGTATTCGACATGCCATTGAGCTCTGCATCTACAAAAAGGCCGTGTCGAAACTAAGTCTCACTCCAAGTTCCCAAAGAAGACAGACTCGACAAGGTCCTTCACGATCTCATCCTCACCAGTAAACCCCGGCCTCCCAAAGCTCCGCAGAATCTCCTCCGCACGGGAAATCGGACCTAGTGCGGTGGACACATCTCTCCCATGTCTATCTTGATCCTGGCCGGTCACAAGCCCGGGACGGCCTGGGAACAGCTCGCGGACCTTTGCGCGCATATCGTTCCACGTCCTGTTGACGGAGTATGAGAATATTCGCTCGTTCTGGATGGATGGTGATGCAACGGCCGCCACTAGGAGACGGGCCGTGTCTTGGACGTCTGATACAAATGCTGCCAGAAGTCCAGACATTAGTACCATATTTATATAGTAACCTCCAACCGAGGACAAACAGGTATGTGCATACCAAGATCAAGCGGAACCCCCTCCCACTCCCCTCTCAGCGCGCGCACCATCTGTCCCGTGGAAGACGTAGCCCCGGTATTAAGATTCTGCACATCCAAAACTCGCCCAAACTGCCCATCCGGTACAACGCAGTTCGCTACGAACGGCGCGTCGTTCTCCTTGACCCATTGCCAGAAGGCTTGCTCGGCTAGTGTCCTTCCTGCACTGTAGACGGCCAGCATGCGGTCGAATGTCGCGGACTCACTTGAGCTGTTGCGAACCTCCTTGATCGCATCGGTATTCCAGGTGTCGGTTGTTAGTTCGTACGGCTTGTTGTAGACGCTTGAGTGAACTGCCTTGGAGCTGGAGCCGAGGACGTAGCGCTTTACACCCGCCCGGGATGCTGCCTCTAAGGTGTTAATAACGCCTTTGATGACCGGGTCGTAAACTTTCGATGGGTCCGAGTCGAAGATGATTGGCATTGATGGGTAGATCACTCCAGCAGCACCTATATTACAATACGTCAGTTGTCAGTTGGTTCCATACAAGCAAAGGGGACCAGCTGCTTACCCTGAAAGGCATCGTCGAAGGCATCATTCTCCTGGAAATCGCGGACCTGGACGAGCTCAAATCTGCCAGACCATGTCTTGTCGAAAAGTGCGTGCATCCATCCATTGTGCCGCTCGACGTCACGAACTGTCCCACGTACCCGGAAGCCTGCTTGTAGGAGCTTTTCGCAGGTTTCAACGCCGATGTAGCCATTTACCCCGACTACTACTACCGTCGAATCCAAAGGGATCGCTGGGTCTTCAATGTGCATGATGCTCGGATGGGTGAGACTTTAGCTATGGCTATGATTGATGGTGTTGGTGCTGGATCTGTGAGGAAATATTTTGGATACGGGAGTTCAGCAAGGAATTATGTATGTGTTTTGGCATAACAAGAACAGACAGTAGAGATGTAAGTCCTTTTATGTATGGAGTCTCACTAGTAGCGACTTCGACACTCCGGTCGTAACTTACAAATCCTGGCGCCCGGTCATGATTTGATCAAGCAGATCAAGAATATTGGGTGTTTAAGTCGACATTCTTACTATGCTACCCGGAACTCCGTGTGTCGAAGGCTACCGTAGATAGAGACACACATACTTATGCACTGGTTCACCCGGAACTCCAGATTCCTACTCGCCAGCTTGAGAACCACAACGATGTCATTTCAGGACTATCTACCAACATAGATGTCTGAGGAAATCAAAAAGTCACAGAATTAGGATCAGGAAGCTCATAACTCTCCACCCACTCCTCCATCGTCTGCACCGGCTGCACATCCAAATCCTGCGCCGTAAGAACCTTAACACCAGGCTCGATCCAGTCATGAGGAGGCACAAACTGGAAGTAATCCATCATGAGCGCGAACTCCTCCGCCCAACGCGGCCACGGCCAGAGCTTGTCATAGTCTTCGCGGGAAATACGGACAAGCTGAGCCTCCTTGCCTCTAGCACGCGCCCACTCGACCACCCATTTCTCGGCTGTCCACTGCGCAATACTCGCGATGACCAGAGCACCATTCTTGACTTTCTCGGCTGGACTGGAGACGATAGCTTCGATGAAGGGCGTAAGATTCTTCACGTCCCCGATAAACGGGATGATCAACTGCGGATCATACGTCGTGAACTGGACGTACTTCTGCGCCGTCTCTATCCAGTACGGCCTCATCGATGCGATCTGGAGATTATTCCCGTAGAAGCAGACGAGGATCAATGTAGTCTTCGCATGTAAGTCCGGATACTCCTTGCGAATAAGCTCATCAACAGCAAACTTCCCGTCAAAGTGATACACGGGATACTCCTCTTTCGGCTTGGCAAGCGTGCTCCAGATGTAGTGCTCGAGCGTCGGAACCGCAGCAGCAGCTCTAACCATATTATAGCCCTCCTGGCGTTCCGTATCGCGGGCTTTCTCGAATCCGTCTTTCTGGTACAACGCCCAGAAGTCCGTCACGGCGTAGATTATGTGCGAGTCCGCGAATGCGGCGGCTACGGTGTCGAAGTCGTTGAGATCGGCTTTGACGACTTCGACGCCTTGCGAGGCGAGGGCCTTGGCTGCGGCGCTGTCTGGGTTACGGGTTAGACCGCGGACGCGGTAGGCGGGGTTGTTCGTGAAGGCAGCGACGACAGCTTGGCCTTGCTGGCCGGTGGCGCCGACGACGGTGACGAGCTTTGTGGTCATTATGCGTAGATAATGAACATATCAGTATCCTGGGAGGGAAACAAAAGTCGCAAAGAGTGTGCAGTCCTACCTGCTCTTATGCTCGAGGCGGGGAAAAGTCGTATAACCCCGCTCATTCCCCAAGAACCCTGGGCTGCAGTTGGATTGGACCATTCGGTGCCCGGTGTGGTACACGGCATTGATTCCGTGGTTCAATAATCGTAATCTGAGCATCGAACCAACCAGATGAAACATCCAAGAGAAAAGGATTCCCTTGGCAGATCAGGGGGTGGGAGGTTTAGGCCATATCAAGGCAATGCACGGCCCTCATGTTAGAGAGCTCGTACTTCAATGCTAGCCAATTGGCTATAGACTCCCCAGCACGGCCCTCGAATGCCAAAAACGATTGCCCTTTTGTTCAGATGATAGCGTACAATGAGTATGTATACTCACTGAATACCCTAGTTGCATGAAGGGTTGATTCTGGCTTTTAGGCGAAGCATATAAACAAGCTTGTGTATCTGACACAAAATAGACAAGAGCATATTGATTGTAAGTTCCCAAAATAAACAATATCCATGATTAAAAACATATGGGACAAGCTCCAATTCTCCTTGGAGCTGCCCCGGCACTTCATGGGAAAGAGAAACTTACGAAACGCTCCAGCCTCCATTCGCTTCAACTCAAGTATATCTCCCTTTTTGAAAGCCACACGGGCCCTTTGCAGCATTTCGCTGGCTTGGGCTTCCAGATTCGACAGTTTGTTCTCAAGGTGGTACGGATTCAGGTCAAATCCCGGGTCCCGGTACATGTTAATAAACGCAAACTTGGTTAGAATATGCCGCTGAGTAAGGATACCTTTGTCCAGGTCAATGTTCTAAATAATAAAGTCCAGCTTTCCTTCTTGCTGTGCGAGAAATACCGCTGGTGCAGCGGGTGGCTACTCTTCTCGTGCTTTCCGCCATAGGACAAATTGCGGGATAAAGTGGTGGTTTTGAGGGCGAGCACTCATTCCGTTTAAAAGATTGTAGATATGAAGTTTAGCTGGTTAGGTTTCATTAATCTGGTCTCTGTGGCACACTGGATTAATATTTGCAAGAAGGCAGGCGGCGCGGATGTGTTAATATGACAACAACATCGGTCCAGTCGCGTCAGGTTATTTCGCATCGAACAGCTATCTTGTGCCACAGTAATAGTTGTTTATCGAGCCTAGGGAGTATTTAATGGCTTAAAGTCGCCCATCCGCATATGCTCCTTATCATAATGCTTGATTCTACAGTTGTATATCTCCACGCACCTCACAGTGTCCTCGATGTGCAACAGAATCATGTACGGAGTAAACTACAAGAGCCTCCTTAATGGTAGTGGGTGTTGGAGAATATCATTCAGACATAAACAGGTTTCATTAGTATTAGGTCTTTTGTCCGTTCAAGCCCATATCCCTCTTTGAACTGACATAGGTAAAATATATTTTCCGGAGGTCCATGATGAAGCACGCATGTCAACCTTAGCTTGGGTACGGACCGGCTGTAATAAAACAGAAGCATTCAGGACTTTCAGGTCGACGAGGCAAGTACACAATAGACTAGATCTATAAGGAGCGGGTCAGAACGGGAGGATCGCCCGGTCCCCGCCCGGCCACGGGCCGATCGGCCGAAACCTTGGTTTACTCCGTAGGCACAGCATGAGGCTCTGAAGACGGGCACATGACAGAAAGGGCGAAGCTGAGCTGATGATGAGTACAGACCCGGGCTCTCCGTCCCTGGAGTATCTGCTGCTCATCTTCCCGTGGCCCAACCTAGATCTCGGGCCACTGACCGTAACCGAGCGGACAACTGACTCGATCTGAAACTAGCTCCATGGTACTAACCAATTGCCGCTGCGGCCGAAGATATGGAGGCTATTCTGGTCCGGAGCACAGGCGTTCTGTCCTTTTCAGGAACGCTAATTCCGCGCCATCTTGAAAACCCTGCGGCTCAACCCGCCCAACTTGTCTGCCTAGAACATTGGATGAGGGATCCGGAACATTTGTCAGGTTAAGAAAAGAAAATCTCAGCAGATTTGCCATAAGTGTCCGGAGGTCTCCATGCCCTTCAGGATATAAAGTCTCGCTAAATGCATCTGCTCTGGCTCCAAGCGGCTAAAACCTGGGAAACAGGCCTTATTACTAGGGTTAGCTCTGGAACAATCTCAAGTGGAACATGTGCACTCGAATATTCTAATGTGGCACCTGCGGGTTTGATTAGTCCGCATGCAACGATAGCGCAGTGGATATGGAACCATCGTGTTTTCAGTGACTCACTATGGTCCTTAACTACCTGAATGCCACCTTGTGCACCTTTCTCTCCCGAACCACCCGCTCCTCACTCCTCGACAGGCTTCACCATGGACAGCACCCTTTTGAAGGGCATCAAATCAGCATGCGTACGTACAATCTATTAAGCGTTTATCTAGATGGGCCTAATGAATCGCTATTTTTCTTAGTGTTTCGCCCTCGCAATCTCCCCCGTCGGGGATCGTCTCATCAACCCTTCAACGCCCGAATACACCTCACTCGTTAACGCTCAAGCACACGGCATGTCCATTCCGCTCGCTCCTTCCTGCTTCGTGCAGCCAACAATGGCCGAGGAGCTAGGCGTCGCTATCGGCGCGTTAAGCTTCGCGCCTGCAATGATGAAAGCAGACGCCCACCACGAGTGTCCGCTTGGCATCCGCAATGGCGAGCATATTACATGGGTTGGCAAGGGTGCGGATGACCTTGATCTTGAGAGTGAGGATTACAAGGAGAACGATTATGTGATTATTGATGCTGGGTTGCTGGATGAGGGGGTCTATCGGGAGTTCATGAAGGGATGGGAGCAATGAGGGAAATTTTGCAGGAGCCATGGGCGAAGTTGCCACGAGGAAGTAAGACCCATTCGGTGTGCTCAGAGGAAGGTTACTGGAGATTCAAAGTCAGCAGAGCATAGTTCATGGGTATTGAATCATCCATGTATATAGCGTCTTGTCCGAAGGAGCGAGGTCCATTCAATTCTGTAAACCTCGTCGCAGGGTTAATCAACAACCCATCCAAATCCCGAATGTTATATGCCCCTTCTGAATCATGCATAACTAGTACTGGAGGGGGCATACTCTCGAATCTTGGTGTAAACCCCCTAGACAGCAACAACCCAATTATCGTCGCCGCCTTATTGGTTGCAATAGTCCCGCTGCTTAAACCGCCAACTTCCTCCATGAAAATCTTTTAAAATAGTTCTTCTAGCTTATTATAGTCGTCAAACCTCACTCTTACAAGTACGGCCAATATTGCGGAGGGGAACTCGACATACCGAGCAACATCAACGATCAAGATCCGCCTCCATCCCGATAACGTCTCAGACTCCTCACAGATATCCGCACTATGGCTTAGAGCAAACTCCAGGTAGCTTACATCGGGTATCCGCCTCATCACATATATAAGAAGCGGCTCCTTTGCGTCCTTGTCGGGATCATCGCCAAGCTGGCCCCTATATTTGACCTCGGATGCGTATGTCCCGTACACCTCCATTACAAGTGCAGATATGTCGGCCTCTATCTGAATAGATCTTAGTCAAAACTGCACCACGTATTCGCCATCTCCACCGGCGTAGACGGTGTAGCTGCAAACGCCTCGAATAGGCACTGGAACGATGACCCCGCCGATACGGGTTTCGGCCTATCCATCGCAGGCTACAAGGCTCAATATTGCTTATGCAAAAAATGTCGGCAATTCGTCTGAGAGGGAGTGAATAGACGTAATGCTTGTAGGTGGTTAGATAAATGGAGGTTCGGGACAGGGGAGTCAGGTATTATTCCACTTCGGGCGTCCAGGAAGAGGATGGGGAGCTAAGGAGAGGCAAACTACCCCGGAGTGAAAAAGGAAGCTCGGAACAGTTGTTCTGGCTTTCGAGGGTGGTTGCGGCTTCTTAATGGCTTCGCCGCTACATCCGTGCATGCGTACATACGTTGGTCTACATTACATAAACTGGAGGCTAGCTCGAGTCCTCAACCTCATCCTGCGAAGGCGTGTTTATTTTCATCGTAAAATCGTCATTCGTAAAAGCACCCCGGAATGGCATCGACGAGACAAAAGGTCCGGCGTGTTCAGGAAACTCTTAAGACATCTAGTTACGTAAATGTTTTAGTCCCGAAACACTATTTAAGCCAACATTCTCTAGGTGATAACGCCTGGAGTGCGATGCTCACCGCGTCCTTGTGATCTATAACAGCCTGAATTGCTGCGCTTACTCTGTCTATTAACCCACTACCAACCTTGTGATACTAATTCAACATTAAGTGGGTTGCTAGCTAACCAGTCATGCAAGAAGATCGACCGAGCTCCCTTATAAGGCTACTGGAGGTATGATACACAAATGCAAAGCTGACTTTCGAAGCATTGCCTGAGGCTACGCCATTTATATGCATTATCACCTGTGGTAAAGGTTGGTATCAATAAGCATAAACCCACGTAACCTTCTGATCTCCCCTCCTATGACTCCTGCCTCGCTCCTCCTCAAAATCTGCCCCATCCCAAGCCGCCATAATCCTCTTCCGTCTTCGATTCTCCCACATATAAACGCCCCTCATAGCAACAAACCCACCCATCCCCACCGCAATAAGCACCATCGTAACAATAAGCGGGTACTTATACCCAGGCGCATACTTACTCTTGAACAATTGCCCCGCAATGACACCGGCGAGGTTACTCCAGCCGTTTATACCGAGGATCACGGACCTCGATGCCTTGGAGGGTGTATTAGATGCCAACCACACAGCGACCAGTGGCCCACCGGCGAATACACCGGCGAGACAAACGTGCGCGAAGCCGTAGCGGAGTTTCTCGTTGTGCGATGTTGCCATTACGACGCAGCCGATTAGGCCGAGGGACATGCCGAACACGGTGTGCAGGGAGCGTTCTTTGAGCTTGTCGGAGGAGTAGACGATCGCGATCAGACCGGCGGTGCCGACGATGAAGGGGGGCACGGCCATCAGCGTGGCTTTTACGCCTTCGTAGCCCATGCCTTCGACGATCATGGGGAGGAAGGTTGTGAATGCGGTTACCGGCTAAGCCGCAGCATTAGTACACATGGGGTGCATATGAGAATTAGATTGGACGTACCAAGACAGAAAGGATGTTGAAAACGACAATGAGCAGTTTCTTCCAGTCTTTGAGTACGTCGAGGACATCACGAGTCGTGATTTTCGATTCGTCTTCCTCTGCCTCTCCGGCGCGGGCATCATCGCGCTCCATGCGTTTCACGGCGTGGGCTCGCTCCTCGGGCGTCAAGAACCAAGCTTTACCTGGTGTAGTCGGGAGGACAAGCAGGCCAAGGATGGCGATGAAGACCGTCAAGGCGCCTTCAAACAGGAACACTGTTTGCCAGCCATGTAGTACCGGCGACTCAAGATGCAACAAGCCGTAGGCGAGTAGACCAGCAAATGCTCCGGCGACCGAGTACATGCCGGAGAACAGACCCATGCGGAAGCCAAGCGAGAACTTCGGGTAGAAGAGCGACATGTAGTAGTACGCTGTCGGAGTGAATCCGGATTCTCCAACACCGAGAAGGAGACGAAGGGCTAGGAAGGTAGGCGTGCTGTTGACGCCAACATGGGCAACGCAGATACTGCCCCAGGTAATCATGAGGGTGCATACCCACCACTTGGGTCCGACGTAGCGGCCGATCATGGCTGAAATAGGTTGGAGAGGGACGTATGTGGCGGAGAACTAGTTGGTTAGCAGTCTTCCCAACCGTATTTAGGACTGACTTACCAGCGACAGCGAGTTGGGAATGTCATTCGGATGCAAGTTTGCGTCTTCAATGAAGGTACTCGTTGCAACAAAACCGACATTTGTCTTATCGATGCCGAGCAGCTGCCATTGTCAGCTTAATATCAGTGTAAATCAGGTGGCCATACGCACAATAAACCCGATGGCCAGAATTAGGAGCAGGATAAAGTCCAACTTGAAGTTCACCCGACGATCCAACGCCTTCTCTTCTTCCGTCAGTGGCTCATAGTGCGAGACCTCGACGACGACCTTGTTCTTCGCATCCTCAACCTCAGTCAGGGAGGGCTTCTCCTGCACGGCCGTGACGGCGTCCATGATGGCAGTGGTTTGTAATCTGAAACTCCATTCTGGCCCACAGCAGCTGGGGTCTTTAAACCCTTGACAGCAGATCAACATGTCTCCATACCGTACAGATGCAGTTGCGTGTTCCCCACAATCCGGGGTCCGTTTGCGGGGTAACAGTGGGGAACATATAATGGGGACAGCCCCAGCCTCCCGCCCTTTCTGTTCTCCATCCTCACTGTCCCCAACATGACTCGGCAGCGGAAAAAGCTGGATTTGCAGTGCGATTTCTGCCCTAAGCGCTATACCAAGCGGGAACATCTCCAGGTAAGCCTGCAAGACTCCGATCGAAGTAAGCATTGAACTTACTGCCGACAGCGCCATGAACGAACCCGTAGGTTTGATCTTCGATTGACTCTCTACACTGTGATCTGACAGTCTAGATACCGGATCCAAGCCGTACTCTTGCCGCGTCTGCGGAAGATGCTTTTCTCGCCAAGACGTGCTGAACCGGCATATCAGGGTCCACCAAGAAAGGCCAGAAGCGTCGACCAATACCAAGCCTCAAATTACACCGCAGAGTCTTGCAGCATCAAGTGACTGGCCAACAATGTTAGAGCAGGATGTTTCTACTGCGCAGCTGCCGGACAGTCACTGTTTACCGTTGTATGAGACGCAGCCGCGAATTCAGGATTCTCGTTCAATGCCCGTCGATCTAGCATCCGGCCTACTATGGCCCGACTCGGAGGAGTTACTGCAGAATATCATGTCAATTGATCCGACCATCTGGCAGCAGCCGCTCGCATTGGCGCCCGCAACGTTTGGTATGGTAGACACGCCAGGGGATTTCATGGGCAACGGATATCAACAATCGCGAGGGAACAGTACGATTGCTGATGACGGGAGGCAGGCCGTGCAGTCTCTGAGCAGCTTGATCAATGATACAGTGTGTTGATAAAATGCACTGTGGAAATGAGCCAACGTCTAACGCGAGCAGTTCTCCACGGTTACGGCACCCGCAAGCTTGACCGGATTGACGTCGCGGTTTTTGGACGGTAGCCTTCATATGTTCTTCGAGAACATCATACCAATGTTTCCTATCTTCCATCGTCCGACTTTCGTCTTCCGGGATTGCGCTCCGCCGCTGTTGTTGAACGCCATTGCGCTGGGGGCTTTGTTTCTCGGCAGTCGCGATGCGGTGGAAAAGGTGCGTCTTGTCCTGCCAAAAAGAAGGCGCCTCTAACGGTATCAGGCCGACGTGCTGTGGCGCCTTGCGCATACTGCGGTAGCAACATCCTGGCATACGATGATCACCAGGCGACGGCCGTCAGACTCTTGTACCGGGGTTGAGTTAGTGCAGACCGTCCTGCTCAGCCAGATATACGCCGCTCTTTCCAAGGTCAGCGAAAGACAGTTCTTGTCTCTTCACTAAGCTTGCTGACGCGTCATAGAATCGGACGTTTCGGACAACGAGTCAAGTGTTCCACGGACTGGGCATCCACTGGGCCAGTCACTGTGGGATGTACGACGCCGCCACCGCTGCCCTTCCAAGCCTGACAGATAGTCCAGCAGCTAAACACGAGTCCTGGTGCCGGTGGGTGGCGCAGGAGACCTTGATACGGACCCTTCTTGGGTTGTATATCGTCGATGGGGTGGTGTCGCAGTTCAGTGGCAATCCGACTTTTGCTCGGCATACAGCAAACCCGCTTTTGCTGCCCAGTTCTGATGCAGCATTCAATGCTTCCAGCCCTGGTGACTGGGTGCAACTGATGCAGCAAAATGCGCCCGTAAAAACTCGCTTCTGCGATGTTTATCACGACCTCTTTCGAGAGCAGGGTAGCGTCAGTGATTCATCACCATATGACATGTCGCTGTTCCATCACAAAGTGATCCTCGAGGGGATACGTTGCCTTGTGTCAGAAATGAACCGAACCAACCCTTCCCCAGTGGGAATGCCGTTGAAGCAAGAACTGATGACGGTCTTACGAAAGCTGCGCAGGAACATCCTCAACGACCACCGTCTAGCCCCTACCGACCGATTGACAGCCCTGCTGCAGTGGCATTCAATCTGCCTAGACACGGTAGTTAGCACGGCACGCGGTACAAGACGAATGTGCCACCTGTTCGGTATCCGTCAGAGTATATTTGGTGGGAGTCAACGAGAAGAGAGCCAGATCAACCCCGGTCGCTGGGCACAGAGTGCCGCAGGACGAGCAACATTGCTCCATGCAATCAACATGCAGGCAATCGCAGCGCAACTACCTCTTGGGATGGCGTACGATATAAATATCCCGGGCGCAGTATTTGCAGCTGCGACGACGTATACTTCTTTTACCTTGGCGGGGGTGTCGAAAATCGTGTACCCAGCCGTGGTAGACTGGGATACGGCATTGATGGCGCTGCAGATGGATGCCGGCACATCTTCAGCGAATGGCAATAGTACGCAGTACACGCTGGACTTTGTAGCGGGAACGTTCAATCCGTCTGGGGTGCCGAGGGATAAGTATGTGGTTCGGGACTTGTCGTACGATCTAACTGCCATGCGCACCTTGCTCCGGGGGCTGTCCCTGCAGTGGGGAGTCGCAGTGGAGATGGAAGAGGTCGTCAGTGCGTATATCGAGCGGTGCGAACTGTAGCTTTCCCCATACAAGGAATGAATGTGTCTCCTCACTCGTGTAGTTGAAGCGAGGATCCGTGTCCCCAGATTGTCCCCATCTTCCCCACGGTTGGTCGTTGGAGATACCATGCCGCATAAAACAACGTGCTCAACTGCCGATAAATTACTGTCCCATGAAGATCAGAGACTCAGCATGTCTTCAACAGTGACTGAGACCCAGCTTCAAGGTGATGAACATGTAAACGACTTTACCTTGGTCGAAGACAACGACCCGGACAAGATCTATGCACAGTTCGCGGAGTTGCGATCGCGATGTCCGGTCGCACATACCACCGAAAATGGCGGTTTCTACCTTCTGACGAAATACGAGGACGTGAAGAACGCGGCATCCGATACTGGCACATTTATCTCGTCAATCAAAGCTGTCATCCCGAGCGATCCTCGCGGGATCCGAAGACCGCCGCTGAATACCGACCCGCCAGCGCACACGCCTTATCGCACGGCGCTCGATCGCACCCTGCGTCCAAAACGACTGAAGCGCCTAGAATTCACGCTAGCAGAGCATGCTGAGCGTGAGTTCGCAAAGCTGGTAGAGAATGGAGGAGGCGACATATGCGGTGACTTTGCCGCGATCTTCGCAGCCTGGGTCGAGACAACATGGTTGAACTTGGAAGATGAAACAGCGCCAATGCTAGCCGAGACGGCTGCTGCTTGGGTAAACGCCTGGCGGAGGCAAGACGCAAAAGAAACGTCGGCACAATCCGAGAAGCTGTATGTTATCGCACGGAAGCTGTTCGCAGACAGAAGGGTGTCTCCGCGAGACCCAGAGCAAGATCCGGCTTCTTCCCTGCTGCAGGAAAGAGATTCCAGCGGAGAGCCCCTGAGAGATGAGCTATTGATGTAAGTGATTGCCTAATGATTGATCACCTCCTTTGACTGACCAATCTAGTGGCTGTCTCCGCCAATCCCTCGTCGTCGGAATGGTCGCCCCTCCGCTCCTCTTCGGCGTCATGTGCAATCATCTATCAAAAGACAAAGACCTACAGTCCAAGCTGCGCACAGATCCGTCGCTCATCCCAGCCGCAGTCGAAGAGTTCGTCCGTCTGTACGTGCCGTATCGTGGCTTCTGTCGGACACCTGCGCGGGACATCGAGCTCCACGGGCGCACAATCCCATCCAAGTCCCCAATAACAATGACATATGCCGCGGCAAACCGAGACCCAGATGCCTTTCCTAACCCGGATGAGTTCATTCTGAACCGGCCGAACATCACCTCTCACCTGGGTTTCGGACGGGGACGGCATCGCTGTGCGGGGATGCCATTGGCAAGAATGTAAGTTCACTTCACTCCCATCTCCGAACAGTCGGGCTCACCATTCTCAGTGCGCTTCAAATCGGTCTTGCTGCGATTCTCCGACAGTCGTCTGATTTCGAAGTCAATGGGCCGCTGGAGTACGCTGGGATGCCGGAGATGGGAATCACCAGTTGTCCGCTGCGGATTACGCCGAGGGATGAACTGTAGATATAGATTTGTTTCTACTGAAGAAATGCAGTTTGCTTTGCTTGAGACATTCTTAGGATTTGATACATTCTTAGGATTTGATGGGGAGGAAGGAGAAGAGAAAGAGAAGAGAACTCGAGGGCGAGCACGCCCAGGGTGGCTCCTGCTTCCATTCCCAAGGGTTGAGTCAACGCCCTACCAAGGAAGCGGCCATCCTGGTCTAAGTGGTCTCGAGTATAGTGCTTATATACCTCTCGACATTCCCCTTCATGGAATCAACCAACACTGGAGCTGATGGATATATTGACCCCGTGGGTCAACACCTTCTGGATAATGTTCAACTTCCTATGCTCAGCCGCCCAGGCGATTGCAGCGCTATGAGGAGATCGCGCGTCCAACTGATATAGTAGCGGGTTGAAGAGAGGATAGAACTGGTGGTTCGCACAGCATAACCCACGCAACGTGCTGAGCGAGGTTATATGGCGCCCAACCTCGAGCAGGATCTCCGGTGGTAATGAGGCCACCATCGCCACGCGAATAAACTGCATAGACGAACTGGAAGGCTTAACACAACCCTTTTCTAATGCCTATAGATACCCCAAGCAAGATTAAGCGGGTCTATGATCATTAATATATCTGCCCAAAACTATACCAGCATAGCCACACTCCATACATCTAAGCTTGTGCTAGCACCAACCAGCCCCCAACGACCATCTATTCAGCAGACCCAACCAACCCCTCCAACCACTCCAACCTCGCCCGAAACGCCCTCTTGCTAACCCCCGCCCCAGGCGCAAACGTATCAAACGCATGCCACGCCCCCGGCCAAACATGGAACTCCGCGGCCACACCATCCCTCCACAGCGCCCCCGCAAAGCGCACATCCTGATCACGAAAGATATCCGCCTCGCCAACATCGATATACGTCCTCGGCAACCCGCGCAATCCGCCCTCTGTTTCCGCCGCCCGCGCAGGAAGCGTATAGATACTCCCACCAGACCGGCCAACTCCCAGCGCAAGATCCAGCCCATGCGCGTTATCATCTTTCGTCCACGGCGCAACGTCCCCATACTGCTCTATTGAGAACGAGGCCGTTTCGTCCGACACCCACGGGTAGAAGAGCATTTGGCCCAGGAGCTTTGGACCGCGCCGGTCCCGCGCGAGGAGCGATACACCGGCCGTTAGGTTCCCGCCTGCTGAACCGCCGCATGTTACCAGTTTCTCGGGATTAAACCCCAGCTCGCGTGCATGGCTATGAGCCCAGACCAGCGCGGCATAGGAGTCCTCCACCTGCGCGGGCTGCGGGTGTTCAGGTGCAAGCCGGTACTCAGCCGAAACGACAACCGCGCCAAGGGTCTCGATGATATCGAAGAGCGTGTTTAGGCCGACGAACCGGTCTGCTGTGACGTGGCCGCCGCCGTGGAAATGGACTATCCCGAGTCTCTTTTCGGCGGGGAGGTCTCTGTGCTCTGGTTTCGTGGACCGTAGGATTGAGGCGCGCAGTGGGCCGGTCGGGCCGGGGATGTCGATTTCCGAGTGCGCGATTGTCTCCTCTTTTCCGACGCTTATGCTCGCCCAGGTTAAGGCTGCGGCTTTGCGGCGCAAGTCTAGGTTTCCGCGGAGTGGGACTTTTGGGAAGCGGGATTGGGCATAGTCGAGCTCGGGGTCGAGGGGTGGGCGGGGGATTGTGGGTGACATGTTGATGCGGACAAGCAAGGGTTAGGGGATGATGCGGGTGTTTGTGGGTTGAGGGTGTCGTGGGCTTTAAGTATTGCTGGCAGACCCATAGCCCCACTGCTTGTCGGGGGATTCCTGTGATTTGTGAGGGTCTTGTAGATCCATAGGTAAGGTACCCGAGGTTATTCGGATTCGCCACGACGGCATGAGTGGCTCACTATTGGTATAGAACTTGTAGAAAAGATACCCCCAGCGTAGTTTACTGGAATAGATGTCGATCCCCATTGTCTAGAATATCCATTCAAGGTTCAACCTTGACCGGCGGGCCAACCGGTTCCCCGCGTTCACTCTCATCATCACTGATTGCCGATTCCTCATCAACGTCCTTCTTGATCTCCTTGACAGCATCAACCGCCCCAGGAAGAGCATAGAAGTACCCCCTACACCTCCCAAACACATCAACCGCCTCCTCTCTGCTCCCAAGCCCATAGCGAGCCTGTGCACTCGGCCGAACAGCGCTCTCCCTCCCTTCCAGAAACACCGTCCAAAAATGCTCATTCAGCTCATCAATCTGCCGATACAGATCCCTCAGCTGCCACCTCAGCACCTTAATCCTGCCGCTATGATCCTCACAATGCAGCATCTTCTTATCGCCCAGAATAATCGCACTCTTCGGAATATGCGGCCTCATCGCCTCCACCATCCCCCTGGGCACCCGATCCACCGCCGCATCCGTAACCCCCTGCAACGCCTTCAAATCAAGAAAGAGCTTCATCTTCAACCCCATAAACGAAACCAGCATATCAACGTCCTCCCACAGCTCAACAGCCGGTGAATTAATATGCATCTCCTCAAACACATCACCGTCTTTCTCCATCCACGGCATCTCAACATTCGGCCCCCCCGTCGCCGCATACGCATACGCAAGATACCACCACCGCGCATAGTCGTAGAACTCCTGGTCCCGCCCCAGAGAGAGAAGCAGGTACGGCAGGTGAAACCGCACCCCAAAGGCATCGGGCGCGTCATGGCGCAGGATCTCGAGGTAGTGCGTACACTGCTCATCGCGGCCTGCGCGACTGCCCAGATCGCGCGCTGCGTGCGCGAGATCACGCCGCGCGCAGAGGTACGGTTTCGTCTCGGGGACGGTGTGGAAGGCGCGCGCGAGAACGGCGAAGGGGTCTCTGGGGCTGTCGCCGCGGATCATGCCCGTGCGGCTGGCGGCGAGGAACGAGCGCAGCTTGTCGCGCTCGGCGATGTAGGTGCCGTAGGCGGAGGTGTAGGCGAAGCAGAGCGGGAGGTGTTTTCTTGCGTCGAGGGTGCGGTGGTGAGCCGTGCAGTAGAGGACTAGCTTGCAGTCTGGGCAGGGGAGTAGGGAGTCGGTGGGTTTGCCGCAGCGGTGGCAGCCTTCGGTGAAGGGGGGTGGGGGGCCTGAGGGGGGTGGCATGGTGAGTGTATTGGAGTAGTCACTAGTGAGATGGTAGAAGTAGAAGCTGGAGGTGTACGGAGTACTGGGGGAAATCGCGTCGGCCCGATCTGGACGCGTTGAGGGGTCGCGAGGTCAGGTGATTAGGGCTGTCGGCTCGGCGGCTCGGGGCTCTGTTGTTCCGGCGCCCTCCGGCTGATGAGTAATCTGGACCTGACTTCGACCAATCAATGGCTTCGGCCACCACATGATTCTCAGCTTGCGGCTGAAGAGCGTACCCGAGCTATAAAATGGGCATTTCCGCCCCATCATCAATTCAGAGGAAGCATTAATCTGACTTACGCGGCCTTTCTCGCCTAGGTATAGCGGCAGTTGCTCAAACCATCTATAGAAAGCCGTTTTGCTTACACTTTGTTCATCGAGAACTATAAATCTTTGAGAGCAAGAGCACCTGCATAATGTGGGGGAAAAACCACTTCGAGGTGGAAGGCAAGGTATACAAATCATATCTTACCCCAAAAACTGAACCCTACAATTGAATGCTAACATGATTCCATCCAGTCCGTCATAGTCGCCGGTGGCTCAAAAGGTCTTGGTCGCGAGCTTGCCATCCAACTCACCTCCCAAGGTACATCCTCAGCCCCCTCCTCTTTATACTTTATCCACATTGATGAGACTAACAACCCAGGCGCAAACATAACAATCCTCGCCCGCTCCCCCGACGCCCTAGAATCAACGCGCACCGAACTCCACAAACACACCAAATCCCCCACCCAGACCATCACAGCAACACCGCTCGACCTAACCAACGCCCCCGCAGTCCAAGAATACATCACCTCCCTCTCCACCCCGCCAGACATCCTCTTCTGCGTGGCCGGCGGGGTCTCCCAACAAATCGGCTTCTTCGCCGACATCACCGCGCACGATATCGAGAACTGCATGAGGCTGAATTACCTGTCTGGCGCGTTCATCGCGCACGCCGTCTTCCGGCGGTGGGTGAAAGAGCCCCCAGCGCACCAAGACCACACGCGCCATCTGGTCTTCACCGCGTCGACGGCCGCGTTCCTGGGTCTTCCAGGGTACGCGGCGTACGCGCCGGCAAAGGCAGCGACGCGGGCATTGGCCGATACGCTGCGAAGCGAAGCGCTGCTTTATTCGTCGCGGCAGGAGATCAAGATCCATTGTTCGTTTCCCGGGACGTTTTACAGCGAGGGGTTTTATGAGGAGCAGAAGAGGAAGCCGGTGCTGCTGAAGGAGATTGAGGGGACGAGCGAGGATAAGGGGGGTTTGAGTGCGGAGTGTGTGGCGGAGCGGACTATGAGTGGACTGCGGCGCGGGAGGTTTCTTATTGCGACGGATGGGGAGACGGAGTTGGCTTTGAATGCGATGCGCGGGGCGAGTCCGCGGGATTGTGTTGTTAAGGATTGGGTGATGGGGCTGGTGGTGAGCTTGGTGCTGCCGGTTTATCGGATGGGGTGGGATCGCAGGACTGTGAAGTTTGGGGAGAGGATGATGGGGGAGGAGAGCGGGTGAGATGCGTTGGACTAGCGTTGGACTGGCATTGGGACTGGTATTGGAACTGTTGTATATGCCAAAGCAAGATTGAGGTCAACACGACTGCCACTAATTGCCCAGATCGATCTCGGAGACCACAGTTGGACCTGGTCCTACTCTCTCATGTGGCGTGGTAATCTGTTGCACTATCCATAGAGGACGATCCACTCCCGTATCAGTCATAGTCTGATCGATAGGGGTTAGGGTCGGGGTCTAGATGCCGTCTGATGGAGGCGGATAAATTGCGGGACAAGCAGTGGAGCTTCCAAGGTCGAACGTGCGTGTTTAGACCAATTGTCTCCTGTCCAGCTCGATAATTCCAATTAGAGTTTGATCAGGGAACTGTGAAACACCCGCAAGCCTCCCATTGGCAACCTGGCCGCCAATTGTGTCGGCAGTGCGAATGAACCAAGGGTCAAGGCCGCCGCGAGTCATGCAAGTGCGCCCAGCCAGCCACTGAGAGAAGAATGGGCATTGTGTGCCTTGATCTGCCCCTGGCTCGCTCGCATGATCAGCCAATGGGGCCAGATCGGGCCTGACTTCCATCGAGATCTCGTGGTCGGTTCCTTATTAACAAGCCCACCCCGTCCTCCCACCGTCGAACTCTCCAACTAATCCAACTCCAACTCCAACACAATGCCGGCCGCAGAGGACGCCATCCGCGCCGTCTCGGCCATGGCCACCCAGCTCGGCAACAAGATCTCCGTGCACATGCTCGACCTCATCAGCACCACCACCGACCTCCCGCACGGCTTCCGCGACCTCTCCGCCACATTCCTCGACACCTGCCGCACACTCTGGGCGATCGAAGGCGGGATCACCGAGCTGGCGTCCGCAAACCGCGCCCTCCCCGAGATCGTCACCGCCGAAGTCGAGAAGAAGTTCATCGCCGCCTACACCGACTTCCAGCACCTCGAGAAGCTGATCCTCAAGCTCGTGCAGTACGAGCACCGCGGGACCTGGGGGAAGCTGCAGCGCGGCCTGCACCGGCCGGGCCAGGAACTCGCTCGCATCCACGAGTCGCTGAAGGGCATCAACGAGGCGCTCACGATCAGCGGGATGGCGTTCCATTGGGAGATGGGCGAGGCGAGGCCTGAGGAGTCTGTCGGCATCGGGTATGCGAGTTTGGCGGCGGCGCTGGATCGCATTGCGAAGGGGCGCTCGGCGATGGCCGTTAACAAGGTCGAGAGGATGTCGCATTCGCAGTCGCAGTCGACGGCTTCGACGCGCTCGTCCTCGACGCCGTCTGTGCCGCCCAAGGACTCGCCGTCGCATTCGCATACTCGATCGGCGCATGTGCAGGTGGCTGTGGAGCATGAACAATTCTCCCACGATGATCCGATTGCGGACGATACGTCTTCCATTTTATCTCTTAACGGATTCCTGGTCTCCAACTCTACGCGTGGAAGCGAACGGTCGGCGTCGATCGAGCGGCACTCACGCCCTCAACCGCCATCGGTCAAGACGCCCTCGGCCACGACGTCCAGAGAAAGCTACGGCCGACAACACGAGTTCGTCTCCAAACCGAACATCTCAAACACACAGCTCAATGCGCTGAACCTGCGCGAGAGTCTCAGATCCGCCATCCGGGCGCGGAATCACGGTCTACTCGAGCAATTGCTCACGAACGGCGTCTCGCCAGACAAGGAGGATGACTTCCATCCCCTGGCCGAAGCCATCACCCAACACGACCCCGAAAGCACACGGATACTACTGCAGTACAAAGCAGACCCAAACCAGAACCCAGACAACAGCACCCTCCTCATCCAAGCAATCCGCGACCGCGCACCCCCGCCCCTCCTCACCCTCCTCCTCTCCGCAACCGCCGACCCAAACCGCAAAGACAACGTCGGCAAGACCCCCCTCTGCGAAGCAGTCCAAACAAACCAACCCACCCTTGTAAGCACGCTCCTCGACCACGCCGCAAACCCCAACCTCCCGGGCCCCGAACACGCCCTGTGGTCCGGCATCCACCACCCAAACTGCCTGCGCATCCTCCTCGCCCGCGGCGCAGACGTCACCAAAGCACCAGGCCTGATGGAACAAGCAACAAGCGCAAACAACATCGACGCCGTCCGCGTCCTCCTGGAAGCAGGGATCTCCCCCAACACCAAGAAAGACGGCGTCTACACGCCCCTCTGCTCCGCGATCCGCGACGACAGGCCCGATCTCGTCTCGCTCCTGCTCTCGCACAACGCAGACCCAAACCTCAAAGCCTCCGAATACCCAGCCTGGAAATGCATCACGCATAACCGCCTGCACTTCCTCGATCCCCTCCTCGCAGCGGGCGCAGATCTCCACAATCCCCCGGGCATCGCCGAGTGCGCGGTCCAGATGAACAATATAGCTGCGTTAGCGTGGCTCGCGACGCACAACGTCGACATGAACGCGCGCAATGACCGCGGCCACACACCCCTGACCACCGCGCTCCGAGAAAACAGAACGGAAATCCTCTCCTGGCTCCTCGACCACGGCGCAGACCCCACGCTCCGCGGCGAAGACTGGCCGCTATACATGGCCACGAAGTCACCCTCCCTGCTCCGCCTCCTCCTCCCACACATCGACCCCGCCCATCTCTCCCAGCACAAAGGCGTGCTCGAGCGCGCGGTGCGCGAAAACCAGCTGGGCAGCGTGCAGCTCCTACTAGATGCCGGTGCATCCCCGTCCTGGAAAGCAGGCGGTGTCTTTAGCCCGCTAACCACCGCGCTACGGGAGCGGTACAAAGACATCGTGGCGTACCTGCTCGATAACGGGGCGGATGTGAATGAGCCCGGTGAGCATCTGCCGCTCGTGAAGGCGATCCGGCGGCTGGAGGGGGGAGATCTGTCCATGGTGAGACTGTTGCTTGAGCGGGGCGCGGATCCGAATCTCTGTTATCGGGGGTGGAGTGCGGTGATGCAGGCTGTTGAGGATCGGGATAGCGGTGTGCTGGGCGTTCTTGTGCGTGGGAGGAGGGTGGATTTGGGTCAGACGGATGATGGGGGGCGCAGTGTGCTTGAGATGGCGGAGGGGGCGGGGTGGGAGGAGGGGGTAAGGATGTTGAAGGGGGCGAAGGGGTTGTGAGGTGATAGCCCCGGGTTTGAGGGTTGGGGGTTGAGGGTTGAGGGTTGTTTACTGTATGATACCTACTTTTGGAGCATTGCATGGCGTCTATTGAACCAATTTATACATACATATACATCAAACCGTCTATCTGCAGACATCCATGCCCGAGAGGACGGTATGGGCTGATGATGTTTCGGTTACCCGTAAACATTTGCAACTCATTGCGTTCCATCAACTTCATTGGGGGACACCAAAGTCATACTTGGAAGCCAGAGCGAGCTGCTGTGGTATCCATGGATATGTCGATCTTGTGAAGAGTGCAACGAGCTTGTCTCGGAGCCAGAATATATAAAAATAGCGCTGAAGCTATAATCATTTCCACGTAGTCCTTTAATAGGCCATGCTGGTATCTTTCTAATATATAGTAAAGTAATAAGAAAGCTATAATATTAGGGCTAACAGTATAACTACCTGGTATAGACGATGCTTTTCTAGGGTATAGAATCTAGCCTGCCCGTGGCTTGCCGACGTAGAGCATGTAGTCATCGGGTTCGTTTGAGTCAGAATGCATGTGGACCTTTGCTAGCAGGCGCTGCCACCATTTCGGCTTCTCGGTTGGTGCCGTGAGAGTTCGGGGTGGCTTTTTCAGAGCGGCTTGTAATGAGCTATCGAGGGGTTCGGTGGTGGCGGAGACGGTGTCGGTGGGTTTATTGTCTAGAGACATGGTGATTGACTCAATCTGGATGTCAATAAACCGGCTGGGCTGGTAAGGAGGGTAGTTCCGAGGACAGGATGAGAAGATTGCTGTAGTCGGAATTTCTAGGCTGCTTAAATGTTATCCGTTCTTTGTGCGCATCACAAATGGTTTACGTTTGTCTAACGATCAAAAGAACATTGGCTGATTTGTTGTGCCGTTTACATCCGCTGAACTGGCCGATCTTCTTGCTTGATTATGATTCATGTGCATATCACTAGACAAAGATAGAGGTCGAAGCATTTCTGATACCCGGAATTTGTCTGAACAGTGGTCTTTATATATCCTTTTGGGGAGTAGTGAAGCATGAGTAAAGCCAAGGACATCCAAGATGCAACTAAGCGCTCTATCTCAGCATCAAGGAGCAGATCCAAGGTATTTGAAGTTGCAGTCTATCATGTCCGTGTTGTCCCAAAACGGCAACCGCAAAGGCGCGACAAGGCACGTGACTTGGCAATTGTGTGGCCGCGGATGACTCCAACTTTTTCATCTTCCTCGCGCCTATCCCGCATTCCCTGCAAGCCATCATCCTTGTTGATATGCCGCTTGAAAGCTCGGACCACTTTCACGATGGGTTACGCGCTGCAGATTTCGTTCTAATAGACAACTTTAGCGGTCTCTGGCCGTCGTTGGAGTTCGTCCCCACCCCACCGCTCAATTTCGATGCCGAGGCTGACTGCGCACGTGCTGGCGGCTCCTTAACGCATGCGCATGGCATCAGTCACTCAATCGACTTGAACACTCCAAATTTGGGCCTCGGTGGGTGGGACGGCAATGTTGAGCGCATGCCACGAGAGAATAAACCGGACGGAGTCGCCGTCCTGAAACGATGGTTCGACCATCGTCGCGACAAGCCGTACCCGACCAAGGAAGAAAAGAAGATCCTGGCAGATCGGTCCGGTCTCACCCTTACCCAGATATCGACATGGTTTGCCAATACGCGCAGACGGCGCAAGAACAAGATGGTGTCTCAGAATCCGCTTCTCAGCCCAAGTGGACGACCCATCATCAAACAGCCGTCGGAGGGGAAATTAAGCCTCATGAGCCCGATGGAGAGGTGGAGGAACTCGCCCCCTGAAGCTGAGGCCGCATCGTTCGATGCCATTATGGGTGCAGTGGTCGACAGTGACTTTGTACAACAGGACCCGTGCACCAGATACTCGCAGCAATCGACCCCAAGTGACGCTCGGTCTGCGGCTTCATCAAATGCATCCGGATCAGTCATCTCGAACACCTCGGTTTCATCAGCTCAGAGCATCGGCTCCCACAGCTCCGCTGGCTCGTTCACCCGCTTCTACGCAACCGAAGCACCGCGACGCAGAAGACGGAGGAAGCGGGCCACTGTGTTCCCAAAGAAGCCGGCAAGGAGACAGGATCCACGGCCGTATCAATGCACGTTCTGCACGGACACGTTCCGGACCAAGTACGACTGGACGAGACATGAGAAGACGCTGCATCTCTCGTTGGAAAGCTACACCTGTTGTCCTACCGGCCCGACATACATCGACCAAGGCGAAACGAAACGGTGCTCTTTTTGCAACTATCCGGATCCTAGCGATGCACACATTGAGTTGCATTCGTATACGAGATGCCAAGAAAAACCTGAAGTTCTACGGACATTCTACCGAAAGGACCACCTCGTCCAGCACCTGCGCCTGGTGCACGGCATAAATCAGTTTCAAGCGGCAATGGAGGGTTGGAAGTCGCAAGTTGATCAGATCAACTCTCGATGTGGGCTCTGCGATACGAGCTTCAATTCATGGTCATCAAGAAACGAGCACCTCGCACAGCACTTTAAGGCTGGCGCTCTGATGAAGGACTGGAAAGGATCCAGGGGCCTCGACCCGTCGGTAGCGTTTGCAGTGGAAAATGCCATGCCCCCGTACCTCATCGGCATTGAGTCTGCAACACCGGATCCATTCAGCGCCTCCAACCTCCCCGATTCCCAACTCTACCCGGACAGCGCACAGGGCCATCTGCCATTATTGCCAAGCGGCGCAAAGCGATCCCCATTCAACCACTTTACAGTCGATCTTACGAACTTCGTCCGCGAGGCGCAGGTCCTTAACCAACCAGTTACCGACGCCGCGCTGCAAGCCGCCGGACGCCGAATCCTGTACGACGACGAGGACTTGTGGAACCAGTCGCCCGCCGACAACCCCGAGTGGCTGCAGATGTTCAAGCGAGCGGTCGGTTTGGACTGCGACCAATCAACCTGTCCACCACCGAGTGTCGAGGATTTCGACTTCTTCCCGTCGTCGGCTGACCCGTGGGCTGTGTGGAACATCTTTGACGCTCAGCTTCACAGTGTAAATGATGTTGCAACGGGACCGGGGACGCCGTTGTCGTTGTCTGGACAGGGTTGTCAAGGTATCACAGCTTCTAGGCAGTCTTGTGTGGAGAATGGCCCGGGCGATTCTGCAGCGCTGCTGGAGCTTACACCGACTAGCCTTGACGAGCTTGAACACTACTGCAGCGTACTTATTGAAGGGGTTTGCGGGGAATAAAGGCAATTGCCCCGAGACCGCTTGTATACCTAATCTTTGCATCCAGAACTACGCCAAATATGTACCACGGCAAAAGCTGATAGTGACTCCTGCTTAGCATGGACACTTGCTGACCTCCACAGCGTCCGGTTCAAACCCCACCTCGTATGCGTCCGATTTGGCATATAGCCCGGCTGCATTATACTGCAGGTGCCTTACCTAATCAGTATGGCTGCCCATTGATCAGCTTGTCTGGCGATTCAAAGTTGCAGTCCGATTGGCTTTTCAGACATTGAGGGGAACGACTATCACGTCTCGCTTGCGCTGCAGGGTTCTTTCAGCACAGCCTCAGCCGGACTTTTCAGTCCAAAAGATATAGGTCCCCAACTATCCTAACGGAAGTCCGCGTCCATACGTCTCGACTCACTCCACGCAAGCAACATAACATCTCTATCTTCTCCAGATCATACCATCGTTGGCGGCGACACCGCCGGCCTAGTTCTTGCTGCGCCTGTCCGAAGACCCGCATGTCCGAGTTGTCCTCCCGCAAAGCGGTCCTGATGCCACATCCGTCCCTAGTACTGAACTCTCTCGCGTTTATGACTTCGCCTGGGCCGGATCTCAACTGGAAACCGCATGTCATTCCCCGAGTAAGCTCCTCAGCACGGCCTTCGTGTTTGTGATCGACAGCAATTAGGCAGACCCCAATAACCGCATCGTGCACCGTCTGGCTGGAAGGCTTCTTGGTAGTTCCTCTGCCACCAACGGACACGCACGGGCGAAACCCCGCAACCTGAACTGGCGCTGGGAGACGTCGAAGCCGAAACTTGAAAAATCAGTCGCCATCACAAGAGGGTCAGAGAGCTCAGAGATCAACCCTGTAGAGCCGGCTTTGGTCGATGGAAAGCACAATGTCCTGGCTCAGGCATAGAACAATGCGCCTTCGGAGCTGAGATACACAAAGACAAGCGACTTTCTAGGAGAGAATGAAACGGTAGGAGTACGAAGGTTTACGGCTACGACCGACTCTGCAACTCGAACTGGAGCGCTGACAGCACGTACGATACAATGGCGAACACGTGCCCGAAGGCTACAACGTTACTGAAGCAACGGTGACAAGGGCTCTTTTTACAACAGAAGGCGAGAACACCAAGGCGACTGGCTTTCGAACTCTACTGGGAAGGATTCCTCACTACTCTCGCGGCAAGCAAGGATGTTATTCTTCCCGCCGGCGCTTTCCATACGCCAAAGCTCCTCGAATCCTCTGGGATCGGCGACAAGGAGAGGCTGGAAGCCCTCGGCATCGCTGTTCTACACACTCCCGGCGAAGGAGAAAACCTGCAGAACCATCCTATGGCCGTCATGCCGGTGCCACTGAAAGGCATCCCTGCCCTGGCGACCGTGCAACCAGGTATCGAGGCACTCACATTTACTCGCTTAGACCGATACACCGCGCACAATCAACATGGACCTGTTCAGCGGTAGGCTGGACATTGAGACCTTCGCGCGCCACGTGCAAGCAATCCAGAAAGTCCTCGCGTTGCCTGCCCTGGAATAATTTGTCTTGTCGCCGTCGGAGCCCGCAGATACTGAGGTTGTCAAAACGAAACTCCGGGTGAGCATGGCGTCGACAGCGCATCATTCCTGCGGTACAGCGGTTATGGTTCTCCGTGAAGGTAGGGCAAACATTGCCCAGTCAAGACGTGAAGGCTTACGGTACCACTGATCTGCGAACTACGGATTATCGCGCTTATTGCGGACGCGAATCCCATGGAAACTGTTTAGGCTCTTGCGGAGAGGGCTGCGGATATATCAAGGCTGTGACACTCTCAGATGATTGTACTGGGAATACATGGGATCGCATGGGTTCGCTGATGATAAATCGCACATCATGAAGTGGATTACCAGCAGATGTCCTCTCCTCGTATAGCTTCCTTACTCGAATATTTCGGAGCACTCATGTCCTGCTTTCTCCATCGCTATTAATTGACGGTTATAGGAAGGCTCAAAGGTGCAAACCCTCATCCTTAGGACGGGCTCTATCAGATAGGCCGGTATATCGTATCCTTATCATCCCCGCAACATCACAGTCTACTCCAACATATCGTTATCATATCTCCCCTCCTATCGCCTCCAAGGACAATCGTCGGACCACCGTGATCGGCATCACCGTTGGAGTAGGATCTCTTAGCTTCGCGATAAGCTCGGCCGTGACACTGCCACGAGATACATATAGCAGACGTAGATAGCAGCAATCACAAGCACCAACCACCAGCTTACCTCCAATCGAACGCACAACAATGCCCGAAACCTACCACGGCCACCCAGACTACGCCTACGCCCGCGACTTCGTCGGCTACGGCGAGCCCGGCCTAAAGCTAGCCTGGCCCAACAACGCCAAAATCGCGGTTAGCTTCGTGATCAACTACGAAGAGGTGCGGCCCATCTACTCGCCGCTCAACCCTCCCCAGAACATTGGGTGCTAACAAGTATACGCGACCAGGGCGGCGAACGCTCCGTCCTCGAAGGCGACGGCGTCTCCGAGTCAAACCTGCGCGAGAACCCGACCGGACCCCAGAGCATCAACGAGCGCAACTACAACGCCGAAAGCGAGTACGAGTACGGCAGCCGCGCAGGATGGTGGCGGCTCTTCCGGCTATTCCAGAAGCACGGGATGAAGTTCACGCTGTATGCGGTTGCGCGCGCGCTGGAGCATAACCCCGACGTTGCGAAGCGGTGCGTTGAAGAGGGACATGATGTCGCGAGCCACGCGTACCGCTGGGTCAATTACCATGATTTCAGCATCGAGAAGGAGAAGGAGTATATCCGGCGCGCTGTTACGAGTCTGAAGAGCCTGACGGGGTACGCGCCGAAGGGGTGGTACTACGGACGGCCGTCTCCGCATTCGCGCACCCTCGTCCCGCAGGTGTATAAAGAGATGGGCGAGGAGTTGCTCTGGGCGAGCGATACATACGCCGACGACGTGCCCTACTGGATCGACCTCCCCTCTGAATCTGGACTCCCGGACGCAGAAGCGAAGGGGTGCCTGATGATCCCGTATTCCTACGACTGCAACGACTTCAAGTTCCACGTGCCGGGGTCGGGGTTCCGTGATCCAGCGGGGTTCCTGACGCATCTGAAGAATGCGTTTGATGTGCTGTACCAGGAGGGGGAGGAGGGTAGTCCCAAGATGATGACGGTCGGTCTGCATTGTCGGATTATTGGGCGGCCGGGGCGGTTTAAGGCGTTGCAGGAGTTTGTCGAGTATATTGGGGAGAAGGAGGGGGTGTGGGTTGCGACGAGGACGGAGATTGCGGAGACTTTTCGGGAGGGCTTTCCGTATAGACGTGGGGTTCTTGCGGAGGCAAAGGAGTAGGCGCGGTTCGATATCCAGGTGCTATGTACTGTATAGCCAGGAACATACATCAGACACAAGCAAGCAGCGTCGAGTTCTTCGTTATGCGTATACCAATAGTCCTCTAGTGAAGATCTAGCCATGCAATCGGACATCCGAAATCAATACCGGGCCTGTGAATCTCGCTCTCTATCATGCTTATCAGATCGGACGTCCGAGATATGGTATGTTCGAACTGGTGGGATCTGCGATTGCTCGCACGCCCAGTCTTGGAGCTCCTTATCGCGCCAGTCCCTTCGTGCCTAGCCCTCTAGTCCTGCTTGAATCATACATGCTAAGCTTCTTATCATGCGCCGTGACGGGTTCAAAGCCAGCACAGATAAGGTAGCCTATATGAGCCCTACCCCAGCTGTTTGGGTTTCATGCCCCGAGAACCTGGTGAACACTGTCAGTGTCAATTAGGGTACTGTACCACGATGGCAGTCCGCCGCATCCTGCAACTCATCGAGACAAAGCCAGCGCCCGAGAACCACCAGTCGATCGGGAAGGGGCGCTGGTCGAATAAGGATCTCGAGCCGACGTACCCCGAGGAGCGGACGTGGACGTGGTAGCCAACCCTTCCTCAGCTGCAAGACTAGCCAATATGGAAAATACGTGGCTAACGAGACCATGCCAGGTACAACCTCCCCCTCTTCTGGTTCTCCGTCGCGTTCGGCGCAACGGGGTGGAATGTCGCTGCGAGTTTGGTCGCGACCGGCCTGGTAGCACTCCCACTGTACCCAGCTCGATACGTGCTAAAGTGGATGGATAGACATGGTCCCAAGCCTTCATCTCCTGCTGTCTGGGCTCGTTCATCGCAGCCCTCGGCGTAACAGCCATGGCGCGTCCAGGGGCAACATACCACATCGGCTTGTCCGTCCTCCACCCCTCCCTCCCCCCATATCCCCCCAACTAACCCAGATGCTGTGCCAGCCCCGTCCTCGCCCGCTCCCCCTTCGGCCTCTACGGCTCCTACTTCTTCATCTTCATCCGCGCCGCCGTCTGCATCGTCTGGTACGGGATCCAGAGCATGTACGGCGCGAACCTGCTCTCCATCATGCTGCGGTGCATGTTCGGGGCCCGCTGGGTGAATCTGCCCAATACGCTGCCGGTATCCGGCGACGTTAGCTCGAAACAGCTCCTGTGTTTCTTTCTCGTCTGGATCGCGGAGTTGCCGTTTTGCTTTGTGCATCCGACGAAGATACACCTGCTCTTCAGTGTCAAGGGCGTTGTTATGCCGTTTGTCACGTTTGGCTTGTTTGCGTGGTGTATGGCCCACGGCGCCGGGATCGGGAGTATACACCTTGCCTCTGCCTCGGCCACTGCACCGACAGGCGCGAATCTTGGCTGGGCCGTTATGGATGGGATTAATGTGATCATGGGCAGTCTGAGTCCGATGCTGGTCAACCAGCCGGATCTGGCGCGGTACTGCAGGAGACCAAGTGATGCGGGGTGGGCGCAGGGGGTCGCGGTGTTCGTGAGTAAAGTCGTTGTGTTCTTTTTGGGGCTCGCGAGCACGGCGAGTATTCAGGGGAAGTGGGGGACTGCGTACTGTAAGTCTTTCTTCCTTGAGGACTAGGCCGCTAATCTAATGGGGCAGGGAATATCTGGGATCTCCTGGATGCCATCCTCGACCACGAGTGGACGCCTGGGTCTCGGTGCGCCGTGTGGCTGGTTGCATTCAGCTTCCTGGTTAGCCAGTTTGGGACGAATTTTGGAGGCAATTCAATTCCGTTTGGGGCGGATATGACGGGGTTGTTTCCGCGGTTCCTGACTATCAGACGCGGGCAGGTCCTTTGTGCGGTGCTGGGGATCTGTGTTGTGCCGTGGAAACTCCTGGCTAGTGCGGGTGATTTCTTGAGTTTCCTTGGGAGCTATAATATCTTCATGGCGCCGCTTTGTGCTGTATGTCCCAGACCTGCTTTTCTCTATCTGATTGGATATACGTTCAGCTAATTGGTTGGGTGCTCGCAGATTGTCATAGCAGACTACATCTCGCGCAAGGGGAACATCCATGTCCCCTCGCTATACGACGCCTCCAAAACAGGCCTCTACTGGTTCTGGTCGGGGGTGAACTACCTCGCTGTCTTTGCGTGGATTGCCGGTGTGGCACTTGGTCTACCCGGTCTGGTCGGCGAGTATCAGCCGCAGTCCGTGAACTCGGCGGCGAAGAATATGTTCAAGATGGGCTGGATCCTGACGTTTGTGGTTGCGGGTGCTGTCTACGCAGTCTTGTTTAGGGTTGTTAAGCCTAGAGTCTTCCCTGATGATGTTAGTGCGGGTCGAGGGTGGGAGTACCTGGCCAAGGAGGGGCGAGACGGCTTCCTGGATGGCGAGAGGGACGTTGTGGAGGGGGTGGTGATGTCGGAGGGGCCGAAGGGGGTGTCCAGCGTTATGGAGAAGGGCGATAAGATCAGTGTTTGATATCGTAAGGTTAGATAGATAGGGCTTGTCTCGGCAATCAAAGCGAAGATAACAGTCGATAACCCCGCCACTGAATTGGAGAATTGGAGAATTGGGGTAGTTGGGGTCGGGCTTCTTCCGATATTTATCATGCACACCCCGCACCTCCTCTTCGCTCTCTGCCCTTCACCTAAACACATACCCCTGCCGCCATGGAACCATACCGACTATCGGCCACAAAAGCCCTGCATCTCATCCAGAAAAATGAGTTGACCGTCGAAGCCTACGCGCGCTCGCTCCTCGCGCGCATCGAATCCCGAGAACCCACCGTACAAGCATGGGCGTACCTGTACCCGGAAGCCGTGCTCGAACAGGCGCGTCGCTTGGATAAAGTTCCGACCGAGCAGCGAGGGCCACTACATGGCATTGCAATTGGTGTCAAGGATGTTATCTATACGAAAGGTCTGTAACCCCTCCAGGGCTGCAATATCGCCTGCGGTTGGGTGTAACGGGAAGGACGAAGTTCAGAACTGACGCAGGATAGACATGCCAACGGAGCACAACTCCCCGCTGTACAAAGACAGTCACGTCCCCGTCGACGCAGCCTCAATCGCGATTCTACGAGCTGCTGGCGCATTGATTCTCGGTACGTTTCTCCCGCCTCCAGCTTCAGTCCACCCTCCATACACTCTATTCATCCTAACGAAATGCAATGCAGGAAAAACCCAAACAACCGAATTCGCAAGCACAACCATCGGACCAAAAACCATAAACCCACATTCCCTCCCTCCCTTACCCGTTCGTACACCAGGCGGCTCAAGCTCCGGCTCCGGCGCCGCGGTCGCAGACTACCACGTTCCATTTGCACTGGGCACACAGACAGGCGGGAGCATCATCCGGCCTGGCTCGTTCAACGGGATCTACGGGTTCAAGCCAACATGGGGCGCTGTGAGTCGCGAGGGGCAGAAGGTTTATTCGCTTACACTCGATACGTTGGGGTGGTATGCTCGGAGCGTGGAGGATCTGAGAATGCTAGCGGGTGTGTTGGGGATTAAGGATGACGATGTCCCGAGGAAATTGAAGGGGTTGAAGGGAGCGAAGTTCGGACTCGTCAAGGGGCCCGTCTGGCGTCTCGCCGGCCCCGGCACAATAAACGCACTGGAGAAAGCGAAAGCACTGCTCCAGGCCCACGGCGCAACCGTTCACGACGTCGAACTGCCCGAAGAGTTCAGCAACATGCCCGACTGGCACGCGAAGATCATGGCATCTGACGGACGAACGACATTCCTACCCGAGTACCTGATTGACAAGACCAGACTGCAGACGTTCCTGGCGAACCAAGTTGAGAATGTGAACGGGTGGACGCATAAACAGGAACTCGCGGCCTTTGACGGCGTCGCGAGTCTCCGGCCTGTTATTGATAGTATCGTGGACGGATTCGATGCGCTGATCACGCCTAGTGTTGTCGATGAGGCGCCCCTCGGGAATGGGAGTACGGGGTCTGCGGCGTTTAATGGGATGTGGACGGTATGTTACCCAGCTCCTGGACTGACATCTTGGGATGCGGTATAATATACCATGGCTTGGTGACTAATTCATATGTGTTGCAGGCGCTACATACACCCGTCGTGAACATCCCGGGGTTTAAGGGCGAGAATGGCATGCCTGTGGGTGTGTCGCTTGTGGCGGCGAGGTACAAGGATGAGCATCTGCTTGAGGTTGCTGAGGTTGTTGGGGGGGTCTTTGAGAAGGAGGGTGGGTGGAAGTCTGCTTTGTAAATTCATTGCATGAGGTCTTGCTTTCTGGCGATTCTCGTGTAGGATATACTGACTGCACGCCCCCCTCCAGTACATATCTAGGTCGCTGTCTAGCGCGGACGATTCATCCACAAAGTGTTATACTTGGTCTACTCCCTGCAGCATACCAAAGATCGTTATATGATGATAATGCTACCCAGGTACTTCAATAATTCTGCTGCCAACATATCAACTGTGGATGGTTATGCTGGTTGTTTGACAGAGATGAGTATCCTGTTATCCGGCTCGCCACTTGATTGTGGCCCATCACAGCAGCGTACCCTAGCGAGTCGATTGCTCTTTGAGTCCATTGATCCTCTTAGCCATCTTTGTCTTTCTGGTAATCTATGGATTCATTGTTGAAACAAATCATTTGCTCTGGCACTCAGAAACCAGGTCTTTGAGTTATTAACATTGTAAGTGGTTTTTGCGCTGCTAAACAAAGAACTCAAAAGAACGGTCTCAGAGAGCAGGTAGGCTGGGCCGCTTGTGTGATGCCAAAGGACACAATGGGCCTGCAAGGATTCTGCTTAATGGCAACACACCATTATTGTTGATGTGCACAAAGAACTGAGCGCAGATATAAACAGCCTCGAACACCCCCCAACTCGACGAGAATCGTTAACCATCACAAGTACGACCCTAGAAGGCCATTAAACCGCACTTCGATACCGTACTCTTCTACAACCCCAGTTCCACACCAAACACAAACCACCATGTCTTCCGACAAGAAACCCACCGAGACCGCCCGTGAGTCCACGGAGGGAGCTCCCAACTTCCCATCCGAACTTCCCCCACGACCCGCTCAACGACCCAGGTGGTACGAGCGCGTCCTCACAAAGGTGCATCTAGCTTCTGACAAGCCGGAAGACTATACGCTGTATATCAGCAGGCCGCGAAAAGAGCCAAAGTTCTCCAAGGGCAATATCGATGCCTTTGCGGACCGCCGCATTATTATTCTGCACGGACACCGAAGCAAGTTGTGCGAGTGGTGGTTTTTGGACCAGAAGTCTCGATTCACGGATAAATATGGATCCATACGGTATGAACTTGAATATGAGTGCTTCTCTATCGAGAAGGAAAATCTTGAGCTGGAGAGGATGGACCTGAAACTGATGAAGGTTGGTGGGCTGAAGGGTGAGGACCGCGAGCGATTCATCAAAATGATTGCCAACCGGAACCGGGCATTGGACGAACGTAGCTTGGTCCAGTCCTTGCTCAAAGCTGCGGGCGAAGCTGGCATCCTGGGGAAGAGTGATGTTCGTTGTGCCGAGATTGTTTTGGGCTATCGGGTTTGTATGGTGGCCGGGGTATGGGTAAGCTAACGTTTCATTCTACGGAGTACCACCTGAGCATATTTGGGTATTCATGTAGGACTTGTGTCGTTCGGCCAAGTGGCTTGTAATCTGCGAGACCATGGTCGCACCTTCTTGAAATCTCTCTACCGGGCTTTGAGAAATGGTGTATTTCAATGTTTTCTAAGGGTTGTTTCTTGTTTCTGCTGTTAGTCATTACAAGTTTTTTCATGCTAAAAGATCCAACTAATATATTTATTCATGATGTTGTCCTCCATTTTTCCACAAGTGGCTCACCTAGAGGCATACCCGACGAGTACATATAGATATTTAGCATGTGCTTACAATGCTTTTGTGACAATGTCTAAGTTTGCGAAGAAAAAGAATATGCAAGTATTTATGACCACTAACCTAAACTAGTAGGTATGTATAGCCATGGCCCGTCATTACTGGAGTCTACGGCGGAAACGCTACATTCTGGGGCCATACGTGCAGTGTGCACATACCAATCCGGCTTCTAGGGGCCCCGCACCCATGGTTCGTGCCCGGCCGCTCGGGATGGCGGCTATAGACTCGGGACCCACCCGGGTATCCCGGTCCCCGCCCGATAGCCTATTGCCCCTGTGTAACCCTAATTTTCTCCCGATGGAGCCTCACGAATGCCGATGGGTGTATATTTAAAATCCCTGGCGAGCATAGGTTTAAGTGCTCCCTCTCAATATCATCCACACCAAGCAAGCAGTACTGTTTTTCTATTTGGCTCTCCACGATTCGACCGAGACTGTGGTAGCAAAGATGCAACGAATCGTCATTATCGGCACCGGTTTCGCCGGGATGTGGGCGGCCCTCGCTGCAAAGCGACTCATCGACCTCAACAAAGCAAGCGACATCAAGGTCGTTGTCGTCTCACCCGAGGCAAAACTCGTCGTACGGCCTCGTCTCTATGAGTCCGGCGCGAAGAATATGAGCGCCCAACTCGACACCCTCTTCAACGAAGTAGACATCCAGTTTGTTCAAGGAAATGTGACTTCCATCTCCCCCGACGAGCAGAAGGTGCAAGTCTTAAAGGCAGACGGGGAGCAAGAAGACCTGCCCTATACCCGCCTCATCCTTGCAGCGGGAAGCCGGCTCCGAAAACCCTCTATCCCGGGCCTAGACAAGCACGCCTTCAGCATCGACACGCTTGACGACGCAGTGAAGCTCGAAAACCATCTCGCAATTCTAGCACAGCAGATCTCAAGCCCGGCTCGGAATACCGTCGTCGTAGCGGGCGGCGGGTTCACGGGTATCGAGATTGCAGCCGAACTTCCTGTCCGACTCCGGCCGCTTCTTGGTACAGAGGATATCCGGGTAATTGTGGTCGAGAGAAACAACGAAATTGGGCCCGAACTCGGCGCAAATCCACGACCTGCTATACTCGCCGCTCTCGCCGCACAGGGTGTCGAACTCAACCTCGGCGCTGCGGTCTCATCCGTCGACGAGGAAGGCGTCACCCTGTCAAACGGCGAACATATCGAGTCTTCCACCGTTATCTGGACTGCTGGGCCCGAAGCAACACCGCTTACAAAAGACGTCCCCGACCCAAAAGACCCCCTCGGCCGCATCCACGTCGATCGCACCCTCCGCGCCCCCTCAGCAAAAGAAATCTTCGTGACCGGCGACGCCGCATTCGCCGACACCGACGGGTCCGGCCACTACGCGCTGATGTCCTGCCAGCACGCCATGATCATGGGCCGATTCGCGGGCCACAACGCAGCCGCTGATCTGCTAGGTCTGGAATTGAAACCCTACGAGCAGAAGTACTACGGGACGTGCCTTGATCTTGGACCTAGTGGGGCTGTTGTCACGGAGGGGTGGGATCGCGAAGTGAGGTTTACGGGGATGCAGGCGAAGGAGGTGAAGAGGTATATCAATGGGACGTTGATTTACCCGCCGGCTGGGGGGATGGAGGAGGTGTTTAGGGCTGCGGATCCGGAGGTGGGTGGGGTGACGCTTGCTTGATCTTATTTGTTTACTTTTGTTGATTGTAAGCTGCTCTATCTTGGATGAACCGAATGATGTTCCTTTCCCCCAATATCAGAGTATGTTTCATGCACATATTGATATCATTCACCCTCTCCACCCTACCATAGATATATCAGTTAAGGTTTTTTACTGAGGATGCCAAGGTTACCTACTAGCGGCATGCCAAATCTGTTGGTGCACATCTCTGTAGCCTGTAGCACCCTCTAGGCGCCAGTGTCAAGAAACTACTAGCAACTATGCTTCTGCCTTGACTGAAAAGGCTTGACTGCTTCACATAGATGCCCTGCATGTTTAGTGGCATTCCGATCATAGGCAGCCATGAAAGGGTTCAGTGTGGGTCAGCCAAGGTTGGATTGACGAATGACGACTGTTCTGGCGCCTGGAGAAAACTTAAAATAGATTACTTGAAAGCTTTGTCAGGGGCGAATCCATTATTACAATCTAAACCACCCTTCGTGGGCCACTGCCATATTGCTGTATATATCTACTTATATCCAATAGCGACTCGAAGATTGGACTTGTCTCCAGGCCAGAAGCGATCCCAAGTACAAAACTAGAGTATGCCGGCCAGCTCCACAGTGAGAGGACGACGGGCTCATCGAAAGTCGCGCAATGGGTGTCAGCAATGTAAAAGCCGGAAAGTAAAGGTATATCACTAAGCATTTCCAAGTTCTGAGCCAACATTAATCAAAGCCATAGTGTGACGAACGGAAGCCGGCTTGCGACAAGTGCAAGGTATACGGGGTGGATTGCTCCTTCGCGCTTTCAGCAAATTCAACAGAACAGTCGGTCTCATGCTCAGATCAAGACACAACGCCAGCTGTAGGAACACCACAAGCGCCGCCATCGGCAGGTTCCGAACTCGCCATCTCCGACCTGGAGCTGCTGCACCACTACACAACATCAACCGCCTACACCTTCTCCCACCACCCCGCCCTGCAAACCTTCTGGCGCGTCGAGGCTCCCAAGATCGCATTCACCGCGCCCTACACCCTGCGCGCGATACTGGCCATGTCAGCTCTGCATTTATCCGTGCTCCGCCCAGAGAAGAAGGACCTCTACATCGCCCAGGCAAGCGAGCACAACGATGCAGCGCTCAAGCTTGCGACGCCCGAAATCACAAATATCAGTCCCGAGAACGCGACGCCGCTATTCCTCTTCTCCGCACTCCTGTCTTTCATATCGTGTGCCAAGCCACTCAAGCTAGGCAACTTCCTCCTCTGGGAGGACCACGACATCGCCGACTGGCTCTCGCTGATCAGAGGGACGGGAACGATCGTCGAGTCCGCGAACGATTCACTCCGCACAGGGCCGCTGGGTATAATCTTCAGCGTGCATCGGCAGTCTCACAACCAGCCGGATCCAGTTGTGCGGCATGAATTCCTCGAGGACCTGCGGGTATTCATTCTGGAGGAAGTGACAGACGAGCACGAGAGAGAGGTATACTCTGTCGCTATTGACCATCTAAGCCACTGCTTTGCGATATGCCTGGACAAGGCGTGGCGGCTTGAGACATCAGACGTGTTTATGTGGTTGTTGCGTGTTCCGGCGGACTTTCTGCGGTTGTTGAAGGGGCATCAGCCGCATGCACTCATGGTCCTCGGGTACTTTTGCGTGCTGATGCATCAGCTCGAGTGGATGTGGTGGATGAAGAACTGGGAGAGGCATATTCTCTCGCAGATCTACCATCTTTTGCCGGCGCCGTTGCATAGGGCTTGGTTGCAGTGGCCGATGGAGCAGGTTGGGTTCAGTCCGTCCTGACGTTGTTTTTATGAAATGGGTTCTTGCAATATAATGTACTTACGGTACTAATAGGGTAAATAGTAGACACGATTTCAGGTATTATGGCCAAGGTATAGGCACTATCTTTAGAACAGTGCAGTAAAAAGCCCGACGAACCCAGCGGAATCATCTGCACTGGGAACACCTTCTCAAGTACATGTAAAATGGAACCAGCGTCACAAAGCATGTCCTCCAGACTATGCCAGGATTACCATCGCCATTCGATGACAGATGATGTCTAAACCGCAGACGCTGGTAGGGTATAAGAGAAAAGACCAATTTATGTCACTCAGCTTCAACCTATGGAATAAACTACGGCAATATCATCTCAAATAAACTGTAGAATAACTCCACCTCGCAAAACTTCATCGACCGATTGTCAAGACTCCCAATCACAGCGGACATTGCAGATGTCCGCCTCGGATTGCCTAGAACCCAAACCCAGAATGTAGATCGGCGCGCTTCGAACGGACAGCGGTAGTGCCAGAATCCGTAATTAAATTCGCAGCAGCCGCAATCATCTCCGTGACCTTGCTCACATCAGCGAGCGTTACCTCCTCACTCTTCCTCGTCCAGCCGAGCTCAGTCGGAAGCCGCTCGTTGTCTACACATATGACATGTCAACGCCCAAGCCTAAGCCAACCAAACGCAGCGTATCAAACAAATCAAGAAGAAGAGGAAGCAGAAGAAAAGTGCGGACTCACAGAAAAAATACTCAACCCACTCCCTGCTCACTGTTCCCTGATCCATATCCCCAAAGACAATAATCGGCGCCGCTGCTTCCCCAAGGCTAAAGTTCTCTGTCGACTCGGTGAATGTATAATTTGGGTTGAACGCCTTGGAGACCACCTGCCGCGCGACCTTGCTATTCGCCAGCATGGCTGCGGATAGGGTGGAGTTTGTCCAGAATGCGCGGGTTTGCGCGAAGATGCTCGCGTTGAAGATGTGGTTTGAGCCGAAGTGGGCGTCTGCGCGGCTGCATTTCAATTTATTAGCATGACTTTGGTGGAGATATGCGCGCTGGAGGAAGGAGGTACCTAAGGCTCGCGTCGTGTTCGAGGACGTTGTGGCGGTTGAGGTGGTCGCTAACAAAAGCCTGTGTTAATTTTCCTATTCAGTCGAGGCGTGGTGAGAGCAAGAGACGAACAGAGTAAAGAAATCAGCGCCCGTCTCCGGGTTCGCAACAAGAGCCATGTCGAACATAAGATCAGCGAGGGAGGCGTTGAAATGTAGAGCTGTCGTTAGGGCTTCGACCACGACCGGGCGGGTGAGGTTGCGGCCGTTGTGTGGGAGGAAGCCGTGGTTTGCCAGGGTATTCATCATTGGGCATGGGCCGCGGACTGTTCAATTTTATATCAGTGCCTGTTCAATACCATGTCGAGGGGTGAGGGCTAGATACAGTCTCCATGTCCTGGCGGCTTCCATTGTCCATAAGCGTCGTGCCGTGGGGTGGCGGATGTCAGACCTATGACGCCGAGGATGGTTTGCAAGTTAATCTTCATTGTGCTAGACTGGTCAAAATGGAATGAATGAACAGAGAATTGCCCAGTTTAACACTGGAGGGACCCCTCGAAGCTGGAGAAAGCCAGCCCTTTTATACAGCATTCGAAGCAGCAGCTCCAGACTCAAGCAGAAATGCAACTGCCAATGGAAGAAATGTGATTGGTACATACCTCCTAGGTTGTGTACTTAGGTATAGAAAATACTTGCAGAAAATCCAACAGCTGTTTCAAGGAGTACCTCAAATCTCGGCGTTGTCGATCCCTGCATCAGGCCGACCAATCGGATCAGCTGGTTCTTGCTGTCTCCGCCGCCATCACGCGAATCCGGCGGGCTTGGCGTCGATCTGATATGAACGGCCTCGGGTTCGGGCTCGGGTTCGGGTTCGGGTTCGTTTCCGGCTCGGGTTCGGATCTTAGGTGAGAGTTGAAACGAGTCATGGATCTGCAGTTTCACGGAACAGATGGAGAAAGCTCAGACAGAACTAGGCGTCAACATTGATTGAAACAGCCCCTGGTCTGTATTCATGCACTGATGGACCCATGAAAACCCAAGCCATAAGGCTAGATCAGCTTGAACCCCCCTCAAAGTGGCGTTGAGGAATCTTAAACCCTTGGCTGATGAAGCTAAGCCTTGCCGGCGAGTGTTAGAGGATCAGCTGGATCCGTGAGTTTGCTTGTTTCATTGGCCTCGCATGCATTGCGAACCCGAGGCTTGAATACGATACAACCTACATCGCAAACCCCCCAATCTCAAAACTTCCTATACCGTGGTCCCGAGATAGGCAGCAAGGGACAATCCCCTGATTGGCAGAACTTAGGAGTTATCGAGATCATTCGAAGGCAGCCATGTTTTTTAGATCAATGAGGATTGTTATAAGAGTGCTGGTAGACCGCGGCTTGGGATGCCTAGCTTTCTCTTGAGCCATTTCCGAGTCGTATCTCTCCGCTCCTAAAATGAAGTCTTTCATATCCGTGCCATTCGTGGTCCTAGCCCTGGGATCTGTCCAGTTTGCCTTCGGCCAGCATGAGAGAAATGCATCCTCCACAACCTTTGCCAATACAGTCGATTTAAAGACAGGTGCCGATTGTGCGTGCAACAAGCTGATCTCCTACTCGGAGCACACTCTTTTCCCGGACTCAGCCAACTACGCCACGCAAGCGACCGACTATTGGGACGTCCGGGCAGACCTTCACCCGGCGTGCATCTTTCTCCCTACGTCGGCCAGCCAGGTATCCGATGCTGTTACTATATTCTCAAAGTGCGGTGCTCAGTTCGCAGTCCGGGGTGGTGGACACATGAATGCAAGTAATCGCTCTACTTACCGCAAACACTTTACTAACAAAGCCTACAACAGTTCCCAGGCTCGAATAACATTGAAGGGGGTGTCCTTCTAGCCTTGAACAATATGAAGAACTACACCGTCAACAATGCCACAATCAGCGTCAGTCCCGGAATGACCTGGTACGACGTGTACTCAGCGCTTGATCCCTACGGCCGCATTGCCATCGGCGGCCGCCTGAAGACGATCGGAGTCCCCGGCCTGGCCCTGATCGGCGGCATCCATTACTTCGTGAACAAATACGGCTTTGCTATGGACAACGTCGTCGAGTACGAAGTCGTCTTAGGAAACGGCACCATAGTCACAGCCAGTGCGACATCCCATCCAGACCTCTTCTGGGCTCTAAAAGGCGGCGCAAACAACTTTGGAATTGTGACCAAGTTCAAGCTGCGAACTTACGAGGTACCTCACATCAGCACCACGATCCAGGAATTTGGCGAGGGGGATGTCTATGATTTCATCAAGGCTGCGTGTGACCTACTCGTCAACAATGACGCATCTACGGCCGCCGGGAACGTCTTGACGATTACCTACAATGCAACTACCGGTACTGTTTCTCCCATGCTCCTCGGTGTCCAGGAGGGCATCAGTCGTCCTCCGTCAAGTTTTGCCAATTTTACCGCCATCCCTGGGGACATTAAGATTCACAACGTCACAACCTCCAAGCAATGGGCCGAGAACCTTGACTCTCCCAAGCAGATGTTCCGGTATGTCCTTCCTCCTGCCTTTTATCTATCTATTCTTGAAGCCGAACCTCATACGCAACAGTGTCATGTTCGGCCATCACTCCATGTCCCCCGACCCCGACGTTCTCTACTCAATGTACGAGACCTGGAAAGACGCCGTGAACCAAATCGCCGATGTGCAAGGCCTGTATCCAACGTTTGTTCTGAACCTGTCTCCCACCAGCGCCGCAACCATTAGCAAGACCAACGGAGTCGGTAATACGTGGGGTCTCCTTGAGGAGCCTTTGCTTTGTAAGTGCCATCCGTTCCCCAACCCCCTCCCCTTTCCCTTGAAAGAGAAAGCAACTAATAGTTCCCAGGGTGGCAAACGAGCACCGGGTGGGATAACGCCGAGGACGACCTTCGCGTTGAGGCCTGGACGCGCCAACTCGTTGAGAACCTGCATGCGGAGAACAAACGCAACGGGCTGGCGAGGGAGTTTATCTACATGGGCGACGCGGGCGAATGGCAGAATCCCTTTGCTGGCTTCCCAGCTGAGAACGTGCAGCGGATGAAGGAGATTAGGGAGAGATATGACCCCTCCCGCACGTTTTCGAGGCTGAATTGGGGTGGGTTTAAGCTTGGTTATTGAGGCCAATAAGAGAGGGACTTAAGTCACGGCTCTTCTGGCCGGGGGGTGAGAGGGGCTTGGTGGAGATTTGTGAGCTTAACAGTGTGGAGTATGGTACGATCCGTGTCGGACGAGAGGTGGAGATCCCTTGGATCTCCGCGGCAAACTTAGTTGGATGACTCTAACTAACCTCCGAAGATAGGAAAAAAATTAACCTTTAACTTTGGCCGGATCTCATGGCCTAATTAGGAAATAAAATATAAAAAAAAAAAGGGATAAATATAGCTTAAATTTTTTTATATTTAATTATTAAACTTTTATATCCTTATTTATTTTAAATCCTAAAAAATCTTATGTTTTATTTACCCCTTAATTTTTATTTTAATTTTATATAACTAATTTCTGCCTAAGGTATTTATAATTCTAAAAGTTATAAGCCCGGCTTATACTTTACTTTTTTAAATATTATTTATATAATTATTTTTAAAGCTATTTATTACTTAAATTTAAACTTTTAAAATTCTTCTTATTTACTATATAATATATTATAAAAAACCTTTAATTTTTATTTATAAACACCTAGTTTAATATTATAACCCTAAATAGCCCTAATATATAGCGCTTATAATATTAAATTACTAAATTAATAATTATAGGCCTTATAATATAAAACTATATTAATTTCTTAGTTAATAATAAAAACCTATTACCTATTTTTATTAGCCTAAGGCCTATTTTTAAAAATTACTACTTTAATATTTTTAAAAAAGGCAAACTTTAAATAAGTTATTTAATAGTTAATAAATAAGGTAAATTTTATATTATTATAAAAAAATATTTTATTTAAAAAAAAAAACATAAAGCTTTGCTAGGTATAATAATAGCTTATATAATCTTAATTATATTTAGCTTGTACTAGTAACTTTTATATAGCTAAAAATATTTATATATAATACTTTAACTTTTTATAAAGCGCTATACGCAATCTAATATTACCTATTAAATAAAAATTAAGGTAAAATAAAAAAAGACAGCTATTTACTAAGGCCTTTTTATTAAAAAGTAAATTAATAATTAATGCAACCACTAGGTTAGTATATTTACTAAAGCTAAAAAGTTTAATATTTTTACTAGTAATTAAAATACTAATACACTTTAAAACTTTATATATATTATTATAATTATTAATAAAAAGTTTAGTTAAAGGCTTCACATGGCTATTTTTTTTAAAAAAAAAAAAACTTTACTAACACTATTAAAAAGTTTAAAATATTTTATATATTTTAGGCTGTCCATACTATATATAGTAAATTTAAATAATAGCTAATAAATAGCACCTTTGCCATGCTTAAAAAAAATAACTTAGTAAATAAAAAAAATAAAAATACTAAAAATAACAAGAAATCTAAAAAAAATAGTAAAAATAAAAATAATAAATTAAAGCTAGCATGCCTAGTATATAGCTACCTATATTTTATTACTTTTTACTAGTATTTTAATGCTAAAAAAGCTCTAAAAAATTAGGAGCCTTAAAAAAAAACTTTGTAAAAAGTAAAAAAGAATATACAGGATTTAACTATTAAAAAAAAAATATTAAGCACCTTTAAAAAATCTAGATTTAATATTATAATATTTAAAATTAAGGTTAAAAAAAATAATTCTAAAAACCCGGAAAAAGTTATAATAATAATTACTTATTTACTATTTAACAGCTTATAATATAGCTTATATAAAAGTATTATTACTAACTCTAGATTTTCTATACATGTTATTAATAACCTTACTAAAATAATTAACATTTGCAACACCTTTAAAAATAATATTATTTTTATTAATAATATTATTAATAAAATTAAAAAGTTTAGTATACTCCGCGTTTCTTACAAGGGACTAAATAGCTTAAAAAGGCTTTTAAAGCTTAAAAATTACACTTATATTCCTGGCTTTTATACTACTATTATATCCCTTAATAAAGCCGTGTTAGCAGATCTATATTTTAGTAATTATAAAAAGATTTTTAAAAACTTAAAAAAATGGACTTTTGCGTACTTAAATAATATTATAAATTATATATACTTTATTATAAGAAATTTAATATTAATAATAATAAAGAGATTAAGGCCTTTTATACTATAATAAAAATAAAAATTTAATACTTTATAACTTTAAAAATATTATTAAAAAGCCTAAAAATTTAGTATAAGTATATAGGCTACCTTAATACTAACATAGTATTTAAACTCTTAATATTTATAACTAGTATATAAATTAATTTAGCGCCTTAACTTTTTAGTAAAAAGTAAAAAAAAAAATTACTTTACATGCCATGTAAACTCTTGCAATTTCCTAAGTAAATATTATAAATTAAATTAATTAAAGCAAACCAACCCTTTAAAAGAATTTATTTTAATATTCTTATTTTTAAAGCATTTTAAAATAATATAAAATATACTTTTTATTTTCTAAATAATACCACCTAAATAAGGTAAATAATATTATATACTAAGAAAAATAATTGCTAGCGCGCTATTTAATTACTTAATACTTATATCTTTAAGTAATTTAAATTTTATATTTAGTTTCTTTACATGGATAATAAGATATTACAACTTTTAAATAACTTTAAATTTATTAAGAAATAATAGGGTTTAGCCTTTAAAACTATTATTTTTAATATATTTAAATAAAACAGCGCAAGCAAGTAATTAAAAAAAATTATTTTATAAAAAGCTAAAGTGCTTTTATTAACCGCTAATATACCTTAAAATCTTATATTTAAAGTTATAAAGGTGTTTATTTATATACTAAATTACATGCCTATAAAAAATAAAAAAAATAAATAGTTTATACCACTTTAAAAGTTCCAAGTGCTAATAGGTAATACTTGCCTAGTAAATATAATTAATATTTTTAAGTTTAGATTACTTGCCTACTAGTAGTTAAAAATCCCTAACTTTTATAAAATAAAGCCAAGAGCAGCTATTAAATATTTTTATAAATATAAAAAAGCCTATAATATTTAAAAAATTTAGAACCCTCGCGCCAAAGCCATATAATATTTAATTATTTAAGTAAAAAATATAGTATTTAACAAGGTAAGAACCTATAATAAAAATAACTTAATTTATATAGCTAGTTTAAGATATACTATCCCAGCATATATTAATAAAAAAAAAAAAAAAACTAGTTAATATACTGTTTTTTATTAGTTTTAAAAATAATTTTTTTAAATTTAATAATTAAAATAAGCCTACTCCCAAGCCTAATAATGTAAAAATAGGTAAAAATAAAAAAATTAAAAATAATAAACCTTACGCTAAAATTAATACTTAAAATAAAGCTATTTTTAACTTATTTAGTAATTTAATATTATATAATAATAAAAATCTTATAATTTTACTTATTCCTGCTACTAGCCCAAGCTTAGTAAGTACTATAGTTAATTAAAGCTTTTAAACCTATAATAACTATAAAACTATTTTAATAACACCTAACTAGGTAGTAAAAAGTAAAAAAAATAAAAAAATCCTTAACTTTAAAAATAATAGCGCTGGAGGGCTCCCATAACTAAAAAATAATATAAATAAAAATAATAATAAAAAAAAAATACTAATATTACTTTTTTTTAAAAAATCTAACCTAAAACCACATAAAACTAATATAAAAAAAGGAAAGTAAAATCCTAATCCCAAACTCTTAACTATATAAGTTAAATTAAATAAAAAGGCCTAATATAACCGCCTGCACTAAAAGCAAGATTTAAAAAATTTTATAAATAAAAATTACTTAAAATAAAGGCCTTTTCCTAAAGTTTTTTATACTAAACTTTTTTACTAGCTAGTAAAAAACTTTACTAAATATTATATTTTTTTTTACTTAATAATTTTTAAGCCTCCCGGACTATTGCAAGAGGTATTAAGCAAAGTTATTTATAAAAATTAACTTTAAAAAAAACTAAAAAATTAGGCAAAACTTATAAAGTATTTATATAAAAACTAGTTTATAAAGGCTACTAAAGTTAAATTTAGTACTTTTAAAAAACTCTATATTTTTAAAATTATTTTTATACTAAAAGGCAAGATTATTATACTACTTATATAAGTATTTAAATATAAATTTAATACCACCAGCTATTTAAATAAATTTAAAACATGCCTTTATATTAAAAAAGATTTTTAACCTAGTAACTATACTAATACCATAATAATAATTTTTACCACCTAATTATTTTAACTTATAATAGCGCTTATTGCTTATTTTAACCTTAATATTATTTAATTAAATATTATTAACACCTTTATTTAAAGCTTTATAAATAAAAAAATATATATTAAAACACTACCTAGCCCCTGGCGCGTAAAAAGCAAAGTATTTAAATTAAATTAATTTTTATATAACCTTAAATAATTACCGCGCATTTAATAAAAAAAAATATTTTTAATATTTTTTAAATATAGCTTTAAGCTAGTACTAAAAAAGCCTTACCTTTTTATTATAAAGTATTTTATAATTATTTTTTTTATTAATAATATACTTATTATAAGCAAGAGATTAGCTAAAGCTAAAAAAAAGGTTGCTAACTTTATTAAATATATAAAGTATATATATAAATTATAAAATTTTAGCAAAGTAAAGTGGTTTTTAAATATTAAAATTATTTATAATTATTATAATTAAAAAATTTAATTATTTTAAGATTTTTATATTAATAATTTACAGGCTAAATATAACCTCACAACACTAAGTAAAATATTAAAAATACCTTTGCTTATTAAAAAACTAATACTTATGCCTTTAAATTATATACTTATAAAGTAAAATATTTTTTTATATTAATAACTTATTAGTTTATTTTTTTATTTTATTATAATAACATGCCTTAACACCTTTAAAGTAGCTAGTAAACTTGCTTAGTATATAATATAACCTATTAAAACTTATATTAAGGTAGCTAAGTATATTATTTAATATTTTATTACTATAAAAAACCTAGAAATTAAATACTTGGCTAATATTAAAAAAATTATTATTATAATATTTAATACTTTTTTTAATAATAATTTTAACTAATATAGCTTTAATAAATAGCTTATAAAGCTATTTAAAGGTTTAATTAACTAAAATACTTGTAAGTAAAAAATAGTTACTACCTTTATTATTAAAATTAAATTACTTGCTGTTACCAAGGGAGCAAAAAACCTTATATAATAAAAAAAACTTTTTAATACTATAAAGTTTAATTTAAAGGTTAAATTACACCTTTTTTATAATAACGCTTAAATTATATAATTACTTAACTTAAATAATCCTATATTTATTATATAACTTTAATATATTAATATTTACTATTACTAGCTTCGCGAGAAGTATTAAAATAAAAAAATTAAAGTTAACTAAATAAAAATAAAAAATTAACTAGTAAATAGCCTTACTAAACTTCTTAATAACCCGTGTTATAAAATATTTATTTATTAACTTAGCCTTATTAAAATTAAAGCTATTTTTAATACCTAGTATTAATACTTTTATTTTTTTAAGTATTAAAAAATATATTAAATAAAAAGTAAAGATTTTTTGGATCTCCGCGGTAAACTTAGTTAAATAACTTTAACTAACCTTTAAAAATAAAAAAAAAATTAACCTTTAATTTTAGCCGGATTTTATGGCCTAATTAAAAAATAAAATATAAAAAAAAAAAAAAATAAATATAGCTTAAATTCTTCTATATCTAGCTATTAAATTCTTATATCCTTATTTATTTTAAATCTTAAGAAATCTTATATTTTATTTACCCCTTAATTCTTATCCCAATCTCACATGACCAATTTCTGCCTGAGGCATCCGTAACTCCGAAAATCCGGGTCTAAGTCCTGGTATCTTTGGAGGGAATAGATTGTTGGAAACTGAGCATAGTTTGCTTACACGACTTGTAAGACAAGCAGCAGTAGGGTATGGTAGCCTTGAGAAAGCTCAAGTCATATTTATATTTACCATGCCCATACACTGCCAATGAAGCCTCTGCATGATTAAGTCATACATTAGTCTTACGTGCAGCTTGTCCCATCTCGAGTCTTAGTTATAATGGCATTCGACTGCTCCAGACCTTGGATTCAATTTAGGATTATCAAGCCTAGGACGGCTTCCTACTCTACAGAGCAAGCTTTAACATCCTGCAAGATACATAACGCACACTAGGGAGGAACCCAAGAGAAAGTTTACCAAGTTGCTTATAAGCTAACCACTATGGTGCTATCCTCAATATCCTCACAACTCCCCCGTTCATTCCAAGGACACCGTCTATCCCCATCAAGAAACCTCAAAAACATCAAGCACCTCCTGCCTAAATTTCTCATCATGAACCCTCTCGCTCCGAATTCCACGATCAAGATATCGCCGGAAAATAGCCAAAACATGCTCGTCGTTCCGCATCTGGATCTGGTCTATCGCCGTGGACGTGGATTCACCAGGTCGATTACCCGGAGCGCGCTGCCCTGCTTTTATGAGTCCCGTTCAGCCTTGGGGGCGCAGAAAAGCAAACCTCCCGCACTTACCGGAAGGCGCATTGGTTATGTTAAGTGTTCTATGGAGACTTTGCTCCGCGCTGGTATTTGAGTCCACTATGACGGAACCTCGTATCGACTGCCCGTGCGAAGAGATGGAGGGCTCGTGCTTAGGACAAACACCGCCATTTTTGCGAAACTGGGTAAGGTCAGCTCTATTCATCAGCACAGTTCATGTAGGCGGCTAAACGTACATCATATGATGCCTCTGTCGCAAATTCCTCCTTCTTGTCATCGTGCGACGCGCCTATATGTGCCTGGACGCTCTTGACGGCGTATATAGCGCTGTTGACAACCAATGCCGTACCTGCTCGACACACCCATCAGTAATAAGCTACAGGGAAACGAGTAGATGGTGAGTGGATGGAGTGTCCCAAGATAACGCACTTGTAAACGGAAGCAACGCAACGTGTCCGAAGAACTTTGCGGTTCCGACCCCGACGTCCCGGGCTGGGTTTGACTTGTCTCTGTCACTGTATGCGCCATTCTCATCCAGCTTGTTTTCCTTAGCCGTGAGAACCATAATCAGGGCCGTGGCCAGAGCGACGTACCCTTTTCCGCCCGTGCGACCCGGACAATTTCCCCACAAGATCTGAGGCGCGAACGATATCCTTTACCGCGGTGTTCAAGCCAGTCCAGTACTCCTTGGTAGTGCTTCCCGTAGAGGCAATGTCTTCGGGTTGCGTGCGATATATACAACGGTCCGTCCTGTGGTTTTGGTATCATCAGTCAAACAGCCCTTCGCAAATCTTGTCGGAAATCATGGGGTGTAAATTTATATGGCTCATGGGTAGGGTACCCACAGAACTAAATCACTAAGACCGATCCTCTTCTTGCTCAGCAACACAGCCGCAGCTTCCGCGCATATCACCAGCGACGGTTTATTCCAGACGCGGAATACAGCGAGCTCCCGCTGCGTGATCGTACAAACTCGCTTCTGGGCCGGCGGTAGCCAGCGATAGAATGACTGGACGGCACTTTGCGCTCCGCCCTCATCGATAAGCTGGCTTTGAATGGTGCGGGCGGCTTGCTGGATGTCGGGGCGGAGGCAGTATTCTATCCCCTGCGCGAGGGTGTCGGGCGTGAGGGTTTGCAGGGATAGTGGTGAGGCGCCTGCGGCGAGTTTGGCGAGGGCCACGCCTAGGTTATGTTGGCTGGGTTTATCAGATGAATGTTGATAGTACTTCACCGTGGGGCGGGTTCTTACTCTTCTGTTTTTGCGAGCGTTATGCTTGGTTTACCGTGTTGGAGTGCCAATTTCACACTCTGTGCGTCCCCGTTATGCACGACGAGCGACACTTTGGGAAGTACCCATTCTGGGTGTCATCGACGTCATGAATTAGAACATCGGCTGGGTGAGAGATATATGCGTGGTATGGTAGCTTACCGTTAGACGTGGAGTCCACGACAAATACATCCGGACTATCCAAGCTCGCGGCAATGTGCTGCCATTTCCTGGAGAAGAGGGCGCGGAATCCGCGTCCTAGCACGGTTTTCTGGATGATGCTTGCCAGCAAACGTGGATCTTGACTGGTGGACTCGTGCATCATGAAGTAGATAGTTGCTCTTCCTGCCAAGAGGAAGGACTCAAGATCCGGTGGAGGCCGATATAATGCTTCTTGTTCCCGGAAAATGTACCCAGAAATATCTGTATCCAGCATGTCAGTCCACAGTCCCCAGCAGATCCGCACACCTGGCTGCGTGAGCTATAATGAAGGATAAGGTTTTACCTTGGTTCTCGGGCCAGTCAACTGGTTTAGGGACGAGCAACTTAGAGCAGAAATAAGTATGCGGGATACTGTGATCCCTCACAAGTGTTGCAGCCGTACTCGAAGATATCGGCATCAAGCCCAGGATGCGTTGTCGAAAGCGGTTGATGGGCTCTATTGACCTATATTCATATCTGGTGTCAATTCAAAAGATCCAAAACCCGCTTTTTAATCGCCACTCACGTATACCATGTGCGCTCCTGTACCAGCGCATAAGACAATATGTTCGCGGTTGTTGTATCGATTCCCTCGCTTGAGTTGAAACGGGCGCGCGGATGCGGGAATGCCTTTGTGGGCGTTTGGGGCGTGGCCGACATAATGTGCAGGGGGATGGAGAGGCGCTCGGCGCAATGGATGTGCGCGCTCGCTGTGGGGGTTGCAATGATCACATCTGCTAAGAATGGACGGGGGTCGTTGGTGTAAGGGGCAATGCAGGCTCTCCAACAATGGCTGTATGTTTCGAATAACGAGGCTTTGTGGTGACGGTTGTGGTTCCTGTTTCTTACGCTCGTGGATATCTCTCCGCCGTTGTTTGCATGGTTCTAATAATTGTTAGTGATCAGTCCCGAGTCAGAATGCGCATCATAACGAACAGGTTCAGTGCCTATGGTGAAGAAGTCAAGACTGTGACTTCGGACTAGAGGCTCGCATGCTGTATCAGCAGCGATACGCACTCGGTGGGAATCTTGGAGGAGGCGCTTTGCGATGTAAATGAATGGTTCGACATCCTCTGTTTTGAGGCGTTAGCGGGGAGTTGTGGGCATTATTCACATGGTCCAAAAGAGTCTCACCATCAACAATCATCACTAAAATATCCAGCGGCGGTGGCTTGAATCTCTCTGCGCTTCCTTCAGCATTTTTGCTCCCTCCTTTCCCTTCAACAGCATTGCCATAGTCCACATTTATTAATCGCGGTGCCGCTCTTGGCCGCATGAACGCCTCGACGAATGCAGAAGTGCGAGATGCTATGCTCCTGTCAATGACGAGCTTGCCGTCTTCTGTATTATCGTGTGAGTACTTGAGATTGAAGTATGCAAGATCGGCCACAGCTTACCTTCCGGTACATGATAGTCCTCTACCCCCCTAAAATCGTTGTAGAACTCGGGGGGAGAATCCGGCTCGATAGCCGTCCAAAGCGATACTTCAGAAGAATTGACTGAACTCCGCACAGGCGAGTATGCGGGCGGCGGATCGTCTTCATCTTGGCGGATGTCATGTAGCATCAGGTTCTCTTTGCCGGCCATTCTGAGATTGTGCTGCAGTATAGGGAAACCTATGGCGGTATCGAGTAAAGGACAACAGCAGGCATGCAGTGCCACCGGGCTGAAAGAGAACGACAGTTTTATGCTGTTGCCTGACCTGCTGAATTTTCTGCAAAAGAATGTCTACTGAGCGGGCCCATGGATACTTAGGGTTGATCTCGGGCTCGGGTTCGGGTTCGGGCTCGGATTCGGGTACGGACCCGTGCGGCTCATTTTCTGGATGGCCCACCCTAAGCCTCAGGTGCACTGGATTAAGAACACCAAGCAACGCCAAAAATAGTCGGGAAGACCCAGCAAAACCTTATCTTCTCTATACGAATCCGACTCATGTCAACAAACGCTGGTACCTAATCATCCTGATGTGACAACCAGGCAGACGCTGGTGATGGAACGGCTTGAGACGGGCCAAAGGTAACAGAATATGATAGCAGCAAAAATCTGAAGGAGATATATATATGATAAGTCTACTCACCATATGGCCTCCAGTGAGCCAGCTCCTCTTCATTCTTTCCATTTCGATCCGGTCTGATCTTCTCAACTCCATTCAATATCGTGATATCGCCATGTCCACCTCAGAATCTACTTGGCATTTGTACGAGTACAAGCCCAGTCTGGTTGCTGCAGCTATCTTTGCAGCTTTGTTTCTCATTACAACATCATTCCACCTCTATCAACGAGTCAAATCGCACGCCAAATTCCTGAATCCATTTATCGCCGGAGGTGTCTGTAAGTAGCTTGTCGAATTGAAGAATAATCATAGTCTATCTACTAACTTCAGGCAGTCCAGGTCATCGGGTACTGTTCCCGTGGTGCGGCTCACTTCCACGAGACATCGACCACCATCTATGCCCTACAGACGCTTCTTCTCCTGTTGGCACCAACCTTATACGCAGCATCAATCTACATGATCCTGGCCCGAATCATCATATCGGTCAAAGCGCAGCATCTTAGTTTGATCCCGGTAAAGTGGTTAACTAAGATCTTTGTCTGCGGCGATATCCTCTCCTTCATTCTTCAAGGTGCAGGTAAGTCACCATAACCTTAACTGACAAACAAATTCCCCGCCCGATGAAGTACACTTACTAACATACTCTCCTAGGCGGCGGCATCATGACAAGCGGCTCATCCAGCAGCCTTAAGATCGGCCAATGGGTTATCATAGTCGGATTATGCGTCCAGCTACTGTTCTTCGGCGCCTTCCTGATCGCCTCGATTATCTTTCATCTTCGGATACACGGTGCCCCCACCGCAGAATCAGAGAAGGCGATGAGTCGCGGCAGGAGCTGCTTGCCGTACGACTGGCGAGGCTTGCTATTTGCATGCTACTTTGTTAGCGTTCTCATCCTCATTCGGTCCGTCTACCGCGTTGTCGAGTTCGCACAGGGAAATTCCGGCTATGTCATCAGTCATGAATGGTTCCTGTATGTTCTGGATGCGTTGATGATGCTCTTGGTTATGTTGACGTTGAACCTGTTTCATCCGTCTGTTGTTCTGAACAACAAGAGACAGCATCAGCGGGACGGGTCGTATGAGGCCGTGTTGCAGCCCGAGTATCACATGCGCAGGATCTCGGAGGGAGCATGAATGTTTGTGCTGGAAGGATGGTCTTTTCGGGCTCAATTTATCCTGAGAATATTCGATTCTTGTTGATTCATATGTTTGTCTTTGGGTTTATTTCATGCTTGACCTCTTTGATAAACGGTTCTCTCGGCCTTTCTTAACCTTTTGTTGTTTGTGGAGTTAATGGCCTTAAGTCTGAGTTCGCTCTAACATGTTATGCTCTTAGATTACTTAGTTTCTCGGACCTAAAATGCTCCAATCTCATATTGTCCGTGGTGCTCGCCAATCAATTGACGTAGGGCATAAGGACTGGTGTTTGATGATTACCAGACTCGATAGTTGCGGTAAATCAAGAAGAATGGATGGAGGTTTGTTACACTCCTCGAAAAATGTCTATGAGCGTTGGTGCAACCTTCTCGTGCTTGGTAACCTGTAACCTTTATATGTACCTTTACCGTCTAGATCTCATTCCCAATCCCTCCCCATCTCAAACAACGCTGCCGCCTTAAGCACCGCTTCATCATCCCACCTCTTACCAATAACCTGCATACCAATAGGCAACTTCTTCCCCTCACTCCCTCCATTCCCAAACCCACAAGGCACATTCATCGCCGGATGCCCCGTAACATTAAAAGCGCAAGTATTATAACTCAACCCCACCGCCGCCTTGACCCTCTCAGCAATATCCCCAAGCTCCGTACCCCCCTTCGTGCTCGGCGGGAACTCAAACGCAACGGTGGGCACAGTCGGCGTAATAAGCACATCGACATCGGCCAGGACAGCATTATACGCAGCGCGCAGCTCAAAGACTTTCCGGTGCGCTTTGAATTCCACCGCCGTCCCGAACGTCTCGCGGAGATAGTCCGTGCTGAAGATGAGGTTCATGATGGTTGGATTTCCGGCGGTCAGGTGGTCGAACATTTCCTGGGATGGAGGCCACTGCGTGTCGATGTGCTCGGGTAGGTAGGAGAGGTATCCCGGTGGACGCGATGCAAGGCCAAAGTCTGCTAGAGCGGTTCGTGCGGCGACGGTCCAGATTGCGGGGGCTTCGCGGTGCATGGGGACGGACACTTCGGTGACTTCTGCGCCGGCGGCTGTGAAATATTCTCTTGCGTTTTGGAGAACGGTATCTCGGACTTCGGGGGAGAGGCCGGGGAAGTCGAAGGCTTCTTTCAGGAGGCCGATTGTCATCACAGGCTTCGGGGATGATTTGTCCTTGGCTGTGCTGATGAAGTCGGCTAGGAGAGATGGGTAGTCCTTTACTTGGTCTGGCATGGGCGACTCGGGAGTCATCCGAGCATCGAGACCGTCGTAACCAGCCATGACCTGCAACATAACCGCAATGTCCTCAAGCTTCGTCGCCATCGGGCCAAGGTGGTCGATCATCGGTGTCAATGAAATGGCGCCCGTGTATGGAATAAGACCGTGTGTCGGCTTGAGACCGTAGATCCCGGTATACGCAGCAGGGAGGCGAATGGATCCGCCTTGGTCTCCTCCAACCGCAAGTTCAACCGTAGGAGAGCCATCGGTGGTGCCGTTGATCACTGCACCAGACTCCTCAAGAACGGCCTTCTTCCCTATCAACGCCGCGCACCCACTGCTGCTTCCGCCCGCCGTATGTCCCCGCGCCCAGGGATTATGAACTGACCCTGTAGCAGATGTAAAGGACACCGGGGCAGCGGAGTACGACTCGCAAACGGCCGTTCCCTTCAATGTAGCTCCAGCCAAAAGCAATCTGCAAACAACCGTCGCATCTATATTGGAGGGCTTATACTCCCCGTCCTTTGAGTGCAACCAGGCGGGTATACCAAGTGTCGTCGGTAGCCCAGCGACGGAGACATTATCTTTCACAACGACAGTTCGACCAGCTAGTAAAGAGCTAGTTGGGTTAGCGGCTGCTATGTCCGATACATGACTCCATGCATTAAGCGGGTTCTCCGCTTCGCGCAGTTTTCGGAATTCTCGCGGCGTTGTTGTAGGGACGGGTGCAAGGTCCGGGTGAAGGAAATCGGTTGTGTCTTTGAGGCTCCTGTGGAGGGCTTCAGCGGATTGAAGGAGGAGCAGGTATGCGTCTTCCTGGGCGCCCGGTTCAATTTTGATGTTGTATTGCGCAGCAACTTTTTCCTGATCTTGCGCCGTAACTGGGGACCTGGAATGTCAGCGTGGCTTAGTTATATATTTTGGCCGGTCCTTACTTGAAGTCCGGTGGAAGGGCTAGAGTGGACATTCGACCCAACTTAATCTAATCAGGGGTTACAATATGGGTATAAATCCTTAATGAAGGGATTTAGAGAGAATGGTACTTCGTTGACTATATACATACTAAGAAGATTGGGGTACTCCAAATGATAAGCGTCGACATTGTTCCTTATCTGAGGGGCATCCCGAATCTCGGGCGAGTGCACATGTGGGCTGATAAGAGGGGAGGTAGATATGAATTGGCCCTTGACGCTGATTCGCAAGAGCCTGGCCGGATGCCAGGGCTGAGGGCGCACCTTCCCCGAATGCTGTTTCCTATCATACCCCGAGTCGAGAAGGAAGGTGCGATGGAGACGGTCGTTCTTTCCTCACCAATCCCAAGTGCTTGTCACTATGCACATGAGTCAGCAAAGATACATAACCCTCCATACCCGCCCCTTACTCCGCGGATCAGGCTAGACCATCTGTCGATCGGCCATCTTTCGTCAACGCATTTTGTCGAGTTACATACCATGCGGTACAAGCCTCACTGTTAAACCACGCCGCTCACAAACACCAAGCCATGAGTACCAGGGAGAGCTCTTGGACGCAGAGATTGCGGAAATTTGTATTGGCTACAAATAAGGCTGCGGCTCAAGAGGAACACGTGGAACCCCGCGAGTCCGCACCCGCATTCGCCAGCTCCCGGGGAGCCTCATCATCACCCACGGCTCAAGAAACTCAAACATCCGTTATGAAAAAGGGAAAGGTGGCCTTCATATCTGGCCCTATCGACACCGGCCCAGATAAAGCCTACTTCCACACCCACTACGTACAGCCCATCAACGACGCCATCGCCGCAGGACATGACTTTGTCATCGGACCAATCCTCTCAGGCGTCGACGCCGATGCTCTCGAATATCTTCTGAATTATCATATTACGCCCTCACGGATAACAATCTTCATGACAATCGGCGAAGACAATGCCTGGGGTAAGCATTTCCGAGAAAAGGGGGTCAACGTGCATGTCCTTGAGGATCGGCTCGCCACAACGCAGAATCGCGATGCGGCAATGACGGCTGCGAGTGACTATGACATCCTAAGGTGGAGGACAGATGAAGAAGCGAAGGAGTTTTATGGGCCGTTGTATCGGCCTGGACGGGTGACGAACACGGAGAGGAATTGGAGGAGACGGAGGGGGTTGGAGGGATGACATCCTACGGAGTATACCATTACAAGTACCTAAGCCAAAACATGTATATACTAGAAGCCGCGAAACAATGACCAAGCCTCGGCCTCAACATCCGGATAACACTCATACCTCCCCTCCCCCTCTCCCCCGAATTCCTCCCACCCAACACCCTTCCAAACCCTCAACACCCCCTGCGGATCAACCTCCCTCTTAATCCGCAGTAACCGGTCATAGTTCTCCTGTCCCCAGAAAGCATTGACATGGTCCGGCTCCCACGGATCCGCCTCATTCATGTACACCGCACTATCCGGCGCGAACTCACGCAGCGGCTGCATAGCGTCGTGCGCATTCTGCGCGATCTTCGTCACAAGCCCGGGGTCCGTTATCGTCCCGTCGTACGACCGGAAGTGCAATGCCTGCCAGATACCATCCCGCCAGTGCGGCGATATGCTCGCATACCCGGGCCCATCTTCCTTGTCGCTCTCCGGCATGTTCTCTGAGTAAAGCGTCGGCATGGTGAGACAGAGGACGAGGATCTGCGTCGACGGCTCAAGCGGTCGTTGGGTGCTCTGCAAAAAGTCTGTAAGAATAGACGAGAGATTCGCCTGCTTCTCCTCCGCAAAGGATTCCTTCCTCAGAATTCGACTCGAAAGAGCCCACGCCGATCCCGGCGCGATACCCAGGTTCTCAATGGCAACGAACCCATCCAACCCCTCCTTAAAGCTATCCGTGCTCTTGATACTCACAATACCGAGATTAAATAGCGTCGCAAAATCTGACAGCGGCTTCATGGACTCTTTCGCCTCCCCATGATCCAACAGCGCCGTCCCAAGGAACAGATTCGTAAACAGCGGAAACGCATTGATGTACCCACCCCACCCCTCCCCCGCCCACTTCTCGGCATTCTCAACAAGCACCTCCATGAGTCTCGCCTGCGCGATCGGTCCAATGTTCGTGAATGTCATAGTGACAAACTGCATCGTCTTCTTCGGGTGGACTTTGGACGTCATCTCCGTGATGACCGCGAAATTTCCACCCCCGCCACCGCGTAGCGCAAAGAACAGATCCTGATTCTGACACCGGTTCGCCGTGATGTGTGTACCGTTGGGAAGGACGGCGCGCAGCTGCAGCACGTTGTCGACGCCCAGTCCCAGCTCGTTGGTGAGGACGCTGTGTCCGCCGCCGGTGATCCACCCCCCTGCTGCGCCGACGGTGTAGGAGCTTCCGCCGACGATGCGATATCCTCGTTCCTCGACGAAGTCGTAGATCGAGCCGAATTGCTGGCCGGCGCCGAATGTGATTGCGGGGCCGGCGGGGGCGGCGCAGTTGTCTGGGGAGAACGTCTCGTCGAGATCGATTGGGGGCTGAAGGTTGTGCATCCTGCTCATGTCTGAGCGTTAGATACGCCGAGTAACAGCAGAAGATATGGTTTGAGCAGAGGCCTACCACAGCGCAAGCGAGTCCGGAGCCGAACTCCGCCCCATATAATCATGCCCTGTATTCTTCACCACAAGGCGCACATTATACCGACTCGCAAACTCCATCGTCCGCTGCACATCCTCAACAGAGCGTACATCGACATAAAGACTCGGTACACTCCCCTGCTTACACTCCTTCAGCACCGGCGTGAGAATATCAGGCCGGATCGCGCCAAATGTACAGCTCTCCCCGGTCCTCTGACACCCGCCCCACTGGCTATTCACGTACGATCCGAACTGCGATGTGCTGTATGTCAAGTCTCCGCCGCGTGTTTGCGCCTCAAGACACTCGGGTATATCTAGATTAGGCGATTCCGTTGCGGCGTCGTACCGCGCGTAGCAGGGGGCGAGCATGGGCTCGCCATAATGCAGGTTCCCGTTTACGCTGGCGTTGAGGGCGTCCCAGGCTGATGAGGGGATCGAGGCGATCGAGGCGCGTTTTATGAAGTTGGAACTAGGCGCTGCGAGAGTTTTGGTTCCCAATGCCGCGAGGGCTAGGAGGGTAAGATGGATTGACCCCATGCTGAGCTGCGCACTTTAGTATTCTCGCATCTCTTCGACCATGGCCGCGGGGAGCGGCGGTGGGTTTTATCCCTTGAAAATGCTAAGAGGTGCCGCGTGCGTGTCCCTGGAAAAAGGGAATATCTGATGGGTCAACCCTTGGCAAAGGGTAATTTGTCATTCTATCCCTCGTCGATCTCCCGGGTCCCGCGGAGTTTGGAAGGTAAACAGTTGATAGGTGCGATATATACGAGCCTTGGCGGGCTAGAGTGCAGACTATCGATCCCTTGCATGGGGAACCCAGGGGGCCAGTCTGAACCATCAATATAATTGGCCGACATAAGATCTATTTTCTGGCGTTGTCCACGGTAGCGAAGGAAGATGGGACTGACATGCCACAGCTCCAGATCTTGAGCTGTTTGTCACTGTCTCTAAAGATCATAATTCATTTGCTCGGAGTTTACTTTCAGGAATACTGTGCTCATATACCCTTTGCTACGTGAGAGCCAGAATTCTCCCAAGATAAATCAAGACTCCAGTTGGATCTCCATCAAACCTCAGGCTTTGGTAGCGAGCTTAGTCAACCAGTGACCCACGACAGCCTTGCTGCCTGAGGCACAGACCACCCCAGCAGTCAACACAACCGAACTGCACCATTCCACCTTCATCACCACCACCACCACCTTCTTCATCCAACCAAATCAAGCCCTCAATTCACCCAACATCCAGGAGAGCAAACCAATAACCAAAAAAAAAAGATGTACCCCCTCCCTCTCGCCCAAGGCAACCCCCAAACCCCCTCAGACGCCACCATCCAAAAATGGCTCGAGGGCGCCACAAACCCAGCCAGTCTCACATTCACGGACCGCCAAAAGCTCCTGCGGCGCCATCCATGGCCCGAATCAGACGCCCTCTGCAAGGAAACAACGGGCCTCTCCTTCGACCAGCTCACCGAGAAAGCCGCGCACAGTGACCCAGCCACCCTCACCTACGGCGAATCCTGGCTCCTGGCGCAGGGGACAAGCGGTGTGCTCGCAAACGGCGACAAGCAGATGCTCGACCGGGTGCGGTGGCCGGCTCCCGCGCGCGCGGCCTACGACGCCGCGCTGGAAGCGATCCTCAGCGAGACGGACCGGGCGGCGCGCGCGAATGCGCGAGTTGCGCTGGCGCGGCACCGCGATGGGTACTGGGGGAAGAGGAAGGAGATATCCGTTCAGGACCGGCGGAATGCGGAGTTTGTGAGTTCGTGGCCGTGGATGCATGAGGTTGAGGAGATGTTGGCGGCGGATGCGGAGGCGCGGTGGGGGTTTGTGTGTTTCCGGACGGCGTACGGGGATGATGCGCAGTGGGAGCATTTCAAGACGCAGTTTGCGAACGGCGCCGAGCTGAGTCTATCCATGCTGCAGAGCGCGCGGAGTGAGTTTTGGACTCCGGATGTGCTGCTGGGGAGGTGGGAGATTCAGTTTGTGGAGGATCGGGAGGCGCTGGAGGGCGCCGGGTTGCATCAGCTTTGTCTTCGTTTCCGGCGTATGCGCGAGGAAGGAAGGATCCGGGCTGGGCTGAGGAGGGATGTCTTCCTCTACGCAAATCAGGCTTCCATTCAGTCCTCGCTGGACCATTATCCCCTCCCCGACCGGGGCTTTGTTGTCGCCGGTGACCCCGAACATGAGCCAGGCAAGATTCCGACGTATTTGCATAACTTCAAGGGGAACGTTCGTGTTGCATTCACGGGCGTCTTTACTTGTTTCTACGCGAGGCTGATTCCGAGAGGTGATCCGGAGGATGATCCCAGTATGATTAGGGGCAATAGGCAGAGCTGGGATGTGGTCTTTCTGAAAGCGAGGATGAACCGTGAGGATAAGACTTACCCTCCAGCTTCCCAGAACAATCGGAACTGACGGTTGTCCTATGGATTTTATATTCTCATGTTATCTATGGTACGAAACTATAAGTGCCCTGGTATATATATATGTTCTCAATAGTGCGCGTCTCAATCGTCAGTGACCATATCGTCATCATCAAGACCGTCGCCTGCCTCCGGCCTCCAGATCGGAAAGTTTGTGGTGTTGACGACAAAACTGCTCTCCCGGCCAAGAGCAGCCAGGTTGTCATTAATGGAATCCAAAATACTCTGGGCCTCGGGGTGACCGTTTTGCAAAGCGTCTGTCCAAACCAAGACCATGGTCTGAAGCCGAAGCTCGGCCCATTGCTCAACGCGCTCCATGCGAGCGATAAGAACATTGTGGAGATACTCGTTCTGGCGGTTCCCAAGGTCAGGGAGGTCTGTCCCTGGGAAGAGAGTATTGATGCGCTCCGAGTATAGAGTCAATTCGTCGGCGATGATGTTAAAGGTCTCGGCCACAATGGGCTGGATGCCAGAGTTGAGGTAGTTGAAGGTGATGAACGCTTGGTTGATAACGGAGAGGGCTTCGGCGGCGCGAGCAACACTATCGGCCCGATTCCAGGTGTTGTAGCCATGCTCCTCCCATTTAGCGTCTGTCATCAGAGCCTTGCCTGCCCAGACGCGCTCCTTGTATGAATTCAGAGTTGCCTCTGTGTTGACGTTGCGTTCCGGGTGGTTGGTGGACCCGAAGGCCTCCCAGATACGGTCCATTGGACTTCCAGTGAGCCCGCTGCCAGGGTCCCAAGTACTGTAGTCTTGCTGGAAGAGGCTGTTTTCGTCAAAAAAGGTGCTTGGAGTAGGGTTTGTATCCGCCCAGCTGGCCACGTACACAGTGCCATCGGGATCAGTCACCCTGCCGGTGATGAGGAACTCTAGCACTCGCGGGAAATACTGGAGCTCCACCCCGTGCTCCGTCACGAAGAAAAGGGTCGGATCCGTGGAGTCATCTGTGATTGACAGGTCGTTGCAGTTGTACAAGTCGGCTCCTGCGTATCGTCCAGCGTCGGGGTTGGCTCTCAGCAAAGCCTCTCCGTTCTCACCGTTATAGTAAGTGAGCGATCTCATGGAGAATCTGCCACCGTTTCCGTCACGGGGGTTGAATGTTCTTGCCGCACCAATGGCGCGCTCCTCAAGGGACCGCTTGAGCGTCGCATACATGCTGCCATATTCATCGGAGTAGGGGTCTCCGGTGTCGGGGTCCAGGAGAAGGGTGGGATCGACCACAACGAGACCCTGAGGGTCCAAGCAACTCTCCTCGAATGGCTTGACTCCGCAACTAACCATGCCGCTCTCGTCGAAGAGCGGCAGTCCATTAAGACTGGGGACTTCTCGGTTTGCCGGTGGGGCATCGCCACCTCCAGGGTGCAGCACATTGATCTCCCCATCATCGCCAATCTGAGTAAGTTCAATGGCTTCCCAGCCGGGCAGATCACCCGTCAGGTCTACCTGATAGCCGGCAAACTCGTTGCTAAAGACAACAGAACTGTCTGATTTTATTCGCAGGAAACCCTCGACCCTCGACTGTAAAGAGGTCTGAACCTTGGAACAACGTGGAGGGTTGATTGGAAGCCATAAAACTCGATATTCATAGCTGCCCTGGCGGCAAGGGCTATGGCTAAGACGGTACCATGAGTGCTTGCATCCCGCTTGTCCTTGGCCCCGGTCCGTGCATCTGCCTTTGAGGTACTGAGCTTCCCTGAGAATGTACTACCGGGCACTGAGTTTGTGACTCCGCCAGAAGCGGCTCCTAGAGCAGACGGTTGGTTCAAACGGCTGGACTCGCGCAAGTCGTTACCCGCGACGAACCTTGCAGTAAAGTCTCCGTCCATGGCATAACCTGTACCAGATAGCCGCGCCTCGATATTGAGCTCCGGCCGCAGAGAGCAGATGCCCGGGTGACTGAAGCCGTAGGCAGAGATAGGGCTGTCCCAAAGGGGCTTGTTGTGCATACCCCCGTCGATGTTGATAGCACCGCGCGCGTTCACCTCTGCAAAGCCATTATACATGATGCGAGAGTCAAAATAACCATGCGCTTCTTCAATGTTGAATGTTGGCGCAATTGTGCCCACAAAGGAGAAGCCGAACTTGAGTTCCTCGGAGATGGTGCCGCCGAGCTTGACATCGAGGAAGCTCTCCTCACTGCACGAATCCGGACCTTTGGCTGCGACTAATGTGTTGCGGAAATCCTCACGGCTCAGGGTAAACTGGCCTGGGTGCTCATCCCTGCGCAGCTCGTCAAGCTTGTTCTTCCAGGCATCCTCGCTGGTACTCCAGAAGCGGGCATTGAGATCACGCTTCTTGACCGGATCCGCTTTCACGATTTCATTCCAGAAGTCTAATGTGTTCGAGTAGTCAATCCGGATATAGATGTCACCCGCATCCCTTTTGACACGGGAGAAGTCATAGCTCACATTTAGGTCATGGACAATAGGCGGCACAGCGAGCGATCGCTTGATATGGGGCGGCAAAGCCTGGTTCTGTGCCTCGCGCATGCTATGCGCTACGGCATATGTGCCTGGACCACAACCCTCAGGCATACGGAGAATGGTACCGTTGACCACACCATCACCAATCTCGCATTCTGCAGAGCTTTCGCTCATACACACAACTCGGACAGTGCTGATTCCAGACTCTGTGATGGCGTCACAATCCAGCACTTCTATACCACCGCTGTCTCTCCGCTGCAGATTTGAGACCGTGCCGGGGGGTCCGTCAATGACTACCAACCCAAAGGTCTGCTGGTTGGGCTCGTTGACAACCGGGTCAGAGTCAGCACCTAGGTTTTGCAAGTCAAAGTCCGGATAGTCCTGCTTCGGGGGCAGCGTAGGAAAGATCTTGTCCAGGTCGACAGGGAGATAGGGGCTGATGTTCTTCGGAGCGTTGCAGCACAATACTTTCTTTCGGCCGTTTTGGCCAAGGGCGCACCGGGTATGGCCCTCTCCAAAGGGATCAAGCATAAACTCGACGTCATTATCGTCACACTCATTGTCATCGCATGTGCCCTTGCCAACCCAGTGGCAGTTTTCAAAGGCACTCTCGCTCGGGCAACATATGGGAATGTTGAGACCTTTGCCCCAGAAATAAAGGTCCGGTTTATACTTGTGGGCGATCTGGGTGTAGCCGGTCGGACACAGGACATCCCACTCGTGGATCTTTCGGTATGGATTCCCGTTGACACAAGAGTCAATGAGTTGCGTGTAGGCAGTTGCCTTGCAGCACGCTGCCTGGAACCCAGGACGATAACAGTTGGTTGTCGCATGGCGAGAATGGAACAAAGTCATCTCGCCGGCATGGCATTGACCATGACAGGAGCGTCCTGACTCGCCGCCACGCCAGACACAGGACTCTGGCATTGCATCCACCGGGCAGCAGATCACTTTGGTCTTGTCGCCACTGCAGGTGTCCTTGAAAGACTTCGTGCCCGGGAAGGGGGCTAGCTCATAGCCGGCTGGACATTTTGGAAACATCTCACAATCCGTCATAACACATTTCTGCCCGTTGATGGAAGCCCAATGGCCTGCATCAGTGACGGTGGACTTTGCCACAAGGGTCTTGTAACTTCCTATGCTTCTCCCCAGGAGGCCTTCAAGAGCCGAGAAGTCATCATCGTCCTGGTCCACCGACCAGATCATGACACCGCCCAGTCCGACCTCATTGGCCCAGTCCATCTTCTGTTGGAAGGTTTTCTTATCGTCGAAGCTAACCCATTGATCTTCCTGGAAGACAATGTAGTTGACAGCGGCATCCTTGTCGTGAACAATATCCGGTTTGTCCTCCTTGATGATGTCCTGGATCTCAAAGTACGCCAGCGTCCCGGCATTGTCGGTGCAGGAGCCCTTGTTTGCGGCTCCGGCGAAGGGGCAGCCAGGTTTGGTGCAGCTGGTGTCTTCTACCTGGAATGAGCGACCGTAGAACCCAAGGCCGAGCACGACCTTCCCAGGCGGGACGTTATTTCGCCACAGAAGCTCAGCAGACTGTTTGATTTCGGTCAGATTGGTGTGTGCTGTAGCTTTCATTAGCTGGATCCAACACCGAGTCACAGAGAAGCCGTGTGGAATAAAGAGCATACCAAGCAGAACATTTCCAATCGGGTTGTCTTCATCCCAAACACCGTGCAGATCGTAGCTCATGAGATTCACCCTAATCCATGGTTAGGAGTCTTCCATGTCTCGAGGTCTTCCCGCGTAGGCGAATCTTACCAGTCGGCGTACTGCAGCATTCCGGGAACATCGAACCAACGGAGATACCAATACGAGGAAGGGATGGTGAACGTTAATCCGTAAGAGCCCCTCTCGGAACTGTCGAATGTCGCCCGGAGTGTTTTCAGCAGTTTAACATAGTTTTCCGTGTCCTCCTTCTTGCCGCCGCGGTCACCCGCGCCAGGGTACTCCCAGTCAATATCGACGCCGTCAAAGCCATAATGACGCATGAAATCGAGCAGGTTATCGGCAAACCTTTGACGGTTGGCCTCATCTGCGGGATAATGTTGGTGAGTGCGACGGAGGAAACCACGGGGACGGCATAGACATACTGGAAGCGATGTCGCTGAAGACCGGCTGGGTAGCAGTGTTGTTGTCCGAGAACGTCCAACCACCCAGGGAAATGAAAACCTCCAGGTCGCCATTGCCGGATTTCAGCGACCTCACGTCAGCGGTTTGCGTGAAAAGCTCCGCCGGCGTCGCGTCGTCCATTGTGGTCACCTCGAATGTGTCCGGATCGATGTACGCAAACGCAAAGTTGACATGCGTTAGACCGTCGACGGGAATCGCGGCGGGAGGGAAGCGATGGCAAGAGCTCCGGGCCATCCATGCCTCGTAGTAGCCAATAACCTGAATCGTGTTAGACGCTGTAGGATCGGAAACAGAGTGCAGAGTGGGTTTGGCCTTACGCGATGCTCAACGGACTTGGACGACTTGCCCGCCGGGACGGATGGGTGACCGCAGTTACTCTGACAGCCACTGGCAGGGCTGCAGAATTCATCGGTTGTGCCGCAGAATCCGTACTCCGAGCAGCAAACGTTCAATGGACACGTCTTGCCGGGGGGATTTGCAGTCTGCCCGCACTCGGCGGAAGCATCGCAGTTGGACACGCAGTCGGAACCGCAGTAGGTGGCTCCATAGCCGCATGTTCCGACATCACCTCCGAAGAACGAACCACAGCAGGCTCCATTCTGGCAGGGAATATCTTCAGTGCAGGAGTAAGGGTCAAGGTCCGCGCGACGGAGGAGCTGAGACACATTGTGATGCAAGTGTTCGAACGACGGTGGCTCATAGGCACGTCTTGCTACACGGCCCTGTCCATGAAGCACTGTAGTGTATATGCTCAAAAGGAAGATTGGAAGAAGGACGAGAAAAAGAGAAGCCACCGAGGACCGCGAAGCCCACCCGCGACTTTGCATTCTGGGGAAGGAGCGCTCTGCACCAGCGCCAATGTCGTACTTGGCAGAAAGAATTTGAAGGAACGAAGCACAACGGTCGACATGGCGAGAATCGAACCAACTTAAAGCTTTGAGAGCAACATCGGTTCTTACGGGGCCATCGATTGGCTAGGCATCGCGACAGTATTTTCTCTCTCGACGACCACCTACTATACCGTATACGATACCCATGAGAAAAAATCGGTAAACCAGGCCTTCGACCCTCAGCTCGACTGCCTGGTTCGCCAATCGCGCGAGGGCCCTTGAATGGGGGCACGAAGACGCCCCAGATTACTGAGATTAAATGCCGGGCGTTATCATCCTACCAATCGCCGGTATGCATGAAATAGCTTGTACCACACCCTCGGGACATCGCACTCCGTGTTCTACTTACAC